TAAAACATAATTTAATGGAATTTAAATTAATGGAATATTATACATATATTAATATATATATTATATACATAATATTATACATGTATACATTATAAAATTGAACACATAAATTAATGAAATTTAATGGAAAGTATTGTCAGTAAAATGATTAAAAGCAAAAGATAATGCACAGTATTCTTCCCATTTAAGTTCCTCTCAGAAACTCAGGATATTAGAAATTCGATTGGTAATGTACACGTGCTTGCGGTATATAGCTAGCCCGTTAGATTCTGTATGAATATTGCATTATTCCAGCCAATCTGCTGTCACCCTGGGCAGCTTTCGCCACGATATGGAGCTTGGGGGCAAGTTGCGACTACAACAGCCGGTGTATATTCAGCGAATGGATCAGGAACGTGCAGAAAGCCAATCGGCATGAATTACCATTCCCTGAAGACGGTTTGGTATTCGATTATAGGTGATCGATCGAACAATAAATTCGTATCTTTTCGGTCGTTTCAACGAGAATTGTCTACCGTAGACTGCACGATGGTGGCTTCACCGATGCAATCGACAGCCAGGAGCCAATTTCACCGAGGTGGTACAAATGGCTAGATGACATTTCCCCGATCAGCATTAGGCCGGAAACGAAATTTGCAGGTAACGAACTCTGTAATGAGCGACAGACTGTGGATACCAGAACTGAAGTAAAAATTTTGCGAATAAGGAGCATACTGAATTTCAGGATTCCTATAAGCATAATTAAAAAGGGTACTTTTAACACTTTCACTGCTACACACCTATTATATGGTACCTTTAGAAGGCCATGATAAAATTTCCATTATTCTTAGGATATAATGACAAATTATCAAACAATATGGCAGAGAAAAAGAAAAATTGTGCAAATTATTAATGTCTTCTGTTCAAAATTTTCTATTTACTTCAGACAAATTTTCAAAAATTGGTTGGAATAAAAGAAATATAAATTTAAAGAATTAGTATTGCAGGATGGTGGACTGATGATTACCATAACCTCACTGAAGAGACAAGCACCGGTCACTAATAACCATTATGGTAGTCAACGTGTTAAGAAGTACTCCTGATTTTATAGAATTCTATCCATTAAACTAAATAACTAAATTTTAATCAACTTGGTTAAGTCTCTGCCTCAAAATTCTGGCAAGAAGTAATTTTAATAGAAAACACAGGTTTTTAATTAAAAAATATTAATTCTCCCGTATAGCGCTCCATTTTTAATAACCCTGTACTGTCAGCTGTCATGCTGCCATTTTCTTTTCGTTGCCAACACGTTACCGCGCAAATGGCGCGAAATTCGAATCTTGCGTGAATTTTGAAACACTAATATATCGCATGGAAACAGTATAGTAAAATAGGAAGATGAAATAGTTACCTTTGATGAATTTTTCTAATATATAGTTGAGAATATTAGGATAAATTAATTAACATTGTGGTTAATAAGACGAAATTAAATTTAAGAAAAATATTTGGTTTGTTGTTTCACTATCCTGTCATAGATATAGAGGTACCAACGATGGATAGCGTAAGGAGCGCAACCATAATCGGGTATTTATTGATCAACGAATCTAATCCACTCTGTGTCGGGCCAACCGGAAGTGGGAAGACTTTAACCATTACCGCGAAACTTTCAAGAAACATGCCGAAGAAATTTATCTGCGATTTCATTACCTTCTCTGCTAGAACTACCGCGAATCAGACTCAGGTATAGCGATCCGCAACTATAGTAATCACCCGAAAAATTTGTTGAATAATATAAAATATCCAACTTCTTACAATTAAGTTGAAAATATTATAAAATGTAAACACGTTTTAAATTAGAATATTGATTTTCGTTTGACGTCACAAAATTTCGATTTCATTCGATTGACGATTTCAGGGTGTCACGAATACCCAAATTGTTAACATAAATTTGCTTAAAATGATATTTTAACCGGGGTGTGTAATATATCGGTTGGTTTGTATTTCTTATTTTTCGTTTGGCGTTGTCAATTTTGTCAAATTGTCCATTCGTCGTCAATTTGTTAATTTTTGTCAAATTTGTCAAAATTTGTCAATTTCAGGATGTCATAAATACCCAAATTGTTAGCAAAAATTTGTTTCAAATTATATTTTAACCGATGTGTGTGTCATGTGGATTGGTTTGTGTTTCTTACCTGATTTTTCACGTAATTTTTACCATGCTTAAAAATTTTACTCTGATAAAAAGGATTTAATCGATGAAAAGCTGATTAAAAGAAAGAAAGACGTATATGGACCACCATTACTTCGGAAACAAATATTTTTTGTCGACGATTTAAACATGCCTGCTCTCGAAACTTATGGTGCTCAGCCTCCCATTGAGTTACTTCGGCAGTTCATGGATTTTAGAGGTACTCCGTTTCAAATTGAATTCGTTTTACTCGATTATACTACCAATGTCTATATGTAAATTTTACTATCAATATTATACACACGTTTCATCTATTTTCTTCTTATTTTTGAGAATACAGAGGACACTCGAGGTTGAAATTGTTAGATTAATTTATAATTCAGAAATAAATTTTCAAAGTCTAGAGAAGTGAGGAAATGTTGACCACTATTCCCAACTTTCATACTAAATTCATTTTCACCTTCCTTCAGGGCAAAATTCCATAAAAGTTTGTCAAACAGATTTCTTTATACGCGTATACTTAAACTACATACGTGTATATTAAAATTTAGTAATCCTCGTTACAAAATAATACTCACTTGTATAGGATATTAAACTGTGCTATCTTTCTACTAGCTCATCAAAATACCTAATATACAAGGTGTCCAAGGAATGGTAGTAAAATCGGTAAGGGGTGATTCTACGTGAAAAAGCAAATCGAAAATGAAGAATAAAATTTTTTCATTCGAAGCTTCGTTGTTGAGAAAATCGACTTTGAATATTCACCGCGTACGCGTGCACTTGACTTCGGCTCACAAGATGGACGACTATCGGTATATCAGCGCGCTCGCTGAATATTCAAAGCCGATTTTCTCGACAACGAAGCTTCGAATGAGAAAATTGTATTCTTCATTTTCAATTTGCTTTTTCACGTAGAATCACCCCTTACCGATTTTACTACCGTTGCACTTTGTATATATATAAGGTGTCCAAGGAATGGTAGTAAAATCGGTAAGGGGTGATTCTACGTGAAAAAGCAAATCGAAAATGAAGAATAAAATTTTTTCATTCGAAGCTTCGTTGTTGAGAAAATCGACTTTGAATATTCACCGCGTACGCGTGCACTTGACTTCGGCTCACAAGATGGACGACTATCGGTATATCAGCGCGCTCGCTGAATATTCAAAGCCGATTTTCTCGACAACGAAGCTCCGAATGAAAAAGTTTTATTCTTCGTTTTTGATTTGCTTTTTCACGTAGAATCACCCCTTACCGATTTTACTACCGTTGCACTTTGTATATATATTTTATCGACATGAATGTACTTATTTATCTCATCTAAGTACTGAAGTTCGATACACTGTATTCAGGATATTCGGATCACGTAATTTTGAACGGAGCCAGCTAAAAGACACGGGACATGTTCCAGGATGGTACGACCGGAAGGAGATCGGCTCATTCAGGCAGATAGAGGACGTAAATTTTGTTGGTGCGATGGGACCACCTGGTGGCGGTAGAAATCCAATAACTGCCAGACTGTTGCGACATTTCCATTTCATTGCGTTCCCGGAAATGGAAGACGACGCTAAGGTAATTCTTAAACGACGCGTCTCGATCTATTGACGACTGAAATGCTAGTGACGTTTAAAGAACAGGAAGTAATTAACAATGAAGACGGTCCACGGAATAATTCATCTTCATCCGTTTCGACACTGTCAAAGCTTCATGTTCATCACAGAGTTCGCCACCTTCCGCTCCATTCTCGCTTCCTCCGCGTTCAAATATTTTCGTCCCAACTGTGACAGATAGAAGAATACGTTAATCACTGGTCTATTAGATTTTCGATTATATATAATCGCTATCAGGGAAAGAATGAACGAGAAGATAACTGTGTTTGGGTAAATTAAAAATAATTTTAATAATAAAGAGTCAAAGAATTTGAGATGAAAATTATTATATTTCAAGTTACTACCTGTAGTGTCGAAGAAGGTAAAGATAGAAATTTTAACAGGGAAACCGATGATGTGACTTGCTTGAAATTATAAACAATTATATAACAAATATTCTTCTAATATTTGTAGAACAATGTAAGAGAAGGTGAAGGTAGAACTTACTCGAACTTGTTTTAATAGGAATTCAAACCATAATTTATCATGGTTCTTATGATCCTGCTTCTGCACACTGTCAGAAACACGTTAGCTAATTAATGAAAACAAATTGCAGGATGTCTATTAGCAAACGTGTCTGCATAATAACTCTCAATCTGAAATATTTTGAGAAATACTTTGAGAAAATATAAAAAGAAAAGAATTGATTTTTTTAATTAGAAGAATTGAATTACAAGAATACCCCCTTAATTCCATTTAAGTATTCAATAACAAATAATCATGAAAAAGAGAATATCGTAATTTTTACATTAAAAATTGCAATTTAACGTAAAAGTGAAATATTTCTGCAAATTATTTTTTAAGTGGTTTTGAAACTAATTCAGGAAGGAAAGCACGTTTCATCTTCACGTATTTCATGCACCAAAGAGTAAAGCAGACGTGAAAGAAATATTCAAGCATCTGCTAGCTTTGAGGTATAGAGCTCCTAAGTATCTTAATATCTGCTTTAGTATGCTAACGATACTGAAAGTTTGGAAAAGTGATAATACGTGCTAAATATATCGCAGGAATGTACTTTCGAACAAAAGAGAGTTGAAAAATAGAGTTTCGAACCGCACCTAGGTGTGCGTAATCCCATAAGGATGGCCAGTTACCGGGTAAGTTCCACCAGCCACCCATTCTGCGTTCATTTTCTCCAACATTTATTCGGTTTTCTTCCATCGAGTCGTCAATCCACGCCTACGGGAAATAATTGTAGCTCGTGAAAGAGACGAAGTATCGCCGGTGCCTGCCTCTATTTGTCCTCTCCCTCATGTTCGCTGCAATTAGGCATCGTAAATCGTACTAGTGGCTTCCATAATTTATCTTGATCACCAGTTCGGCCAATAATGAGAGGCTATAACCACCCCTGTTGGAATCTGTTTCTCCCCTGATCTGCGTTTTAAACAGATCAGACAAGGTCAAGCAGGACACGCGTTACCTTCCATAAGAGGGAGTTATTCGTGTCAAGTATGCTTCTCCCTGTAACCTCTCTCATGGAAAATCTCCTCGCAATGAACGAATTGGATGGCAGCTTCTTAATGAAACAAACGTGTTATAATAATCAAAGATAAAAGCTTTTCGTACGGTATAGATAAGCTATGAGGTAAAATAGGGTATAGATAGGTATAGATAACTATAACTAGGTATAGATAGGTATAGGTAGGTATAGATAACTATAACTAGGTATAGATAGGTATAGATAGGTATAGATAGGTACAGAGAACTATAACTAGGTATAGATAGGTATAGATAGGTACAGAGAACTATAACTAGGTATAGATAGGTATAGATAAGCTATGAGGTAAAATAGGATATAGATAAGTATAGATAAGCTATGAGGTAAAATAGGGTATAGATAAGTATAGATAACTATAACTAGGTATAGATAGGTATAGATATGTATAGATAAGCTATGAGGTAAAATAGGGTATATATAGGTATAGATAGGTGTAGATAAACTATGAGGTAAAATAGGGTATAGATAGGTATAGATAACTATAACGAGGTATAGATAACTATAACTAGGTATAGATAGGTACAGAGAACTATAACTAAGTATAGATAGGTATAGATAAGTTATGAGGTAAAATAGGGTATAGATAGGTATAGATAACTATAACTAGGTATAGATAGGTGTAGATAGGTATAGATAACTATAACTAGGTATAGATGAGTATAGATAGGTATAGATAACTATAACTAGGTATACATAGGTATAGATAGGTATAGATAACTATAACTAGGTATACATAGGTATAGATAGGTATAGATAACTATAATTAGGTATAGATAACTATAACTAGGTATAGATAGGTATAGATAACTAGGTATGTCTAGGCTTGTCTAGGTTTGCTGTAACTCGAAATTAAACTTTCGTCAGGTTTCAAGGCTCTTATATAACTGTGATAATTTAAAAATGGCGTTATTCGTTCCTAATTTAATCCTTAGGGTTCTTAGGGTAAGAGTGAGAACAGGGTATACACGATATCACAGTATACAGGGTATACACGACAGGCAATAAATTACTGTGACATGCAAATGGATTAATGAAACAAACGTGTTATAATAATCAAAGGTAAAAGCTTTTCGTAAGGCACAGATAAGGTATAAGGTAAAGTAAGGTATACATAGATATAGATAACTAGGTTTGTCTAGGCTTGCTGTAACTCGAAAATGAACTTTCGTCAGGTTGCAAGGCTATTATACAACTGTGATAATTTTAAGATGACGTTATTCGTTCCAAATTTAACCCTTAGGGTACTTAGGGTAAAAGTGAGAACAGGATGTACACGATATCGCAGTAAACAGGGTAACGATGGGCAATAAATTACTGTGAGATGCAAATGCGTTCTCTAATCAGAGTTCCCTACCAAATTGTCTGTAATTCGTCATTGCTCTGGAAATATTAATCGAACCAATGAATAAGTAATTCAGTAAAACGAAAGGAAAAAGGATAATTGAACTGAAGAGGGTTAACAAGAAGCGTAGATATAAATTAAACGTAGAATCGTATTTGAAGAGAATAATTAGAGCAATATTGCGAATGCTTGATAGAATAAAATAAGCTTTATTAATAAAGTGACAGTAGTGATGTATAAAAAGAATAGTAATTATATAATAAAATGGTAGAACAGTAATAGTAATTATTCCTTTCACTATGACACTTTTTTACCAACCTTTTCCAAAACCTCCCTCATCCCTTAAAACATTGCAGATGTAATATTGCAAATTTTTGATAGAATAAAATAAGCTATATAGTGATATCTAAAAAAGGATAGTAATTATATAATAGAATAATAAAATAGTAATAATAATTATTCTTTTCACTATAATACTTTTTTACTAACTATTTCCAAAACCTCCCTCACCCCTTGGGCCACTTAAATATTGCAGACCCATCAGTAAACTTCTTTGACGACCGTTTCCTGATAGGTCTAACTTTTATTCGAGCTCCTAGCTTTCTCTTTTGCTTTCTCTATTCTTCTTTTCTCTCTTTACTCTCTTCGGTCAATCGACCTCATAAATAAAACGATAATCGATATTCTCATACTAGAAACACATCTTCGGGACGATTCTGAATTCCTGGCTCTCCGTGACGCCGCACTTTGGACACATGCTGGATGTTTTCGTGAACACGACGTTAAATATATTCACCACTATATGCCAGGAGCTACTACCAACCCCTCACAAATCTCACTATACCTTCAATCTACGAGACCTCAGCAAGGTGTTTCAAGGAATGCTCATGATGAATCCTGCCAAAATAGAGGTTTGCAAACAGACGGATAAAACCTCCCCTTAGCTATTGCACTGCGATTTAGTTATGAGAAAGTATGCATTCAAGTGGTATTTGATTTTGGTTAACCATTGTATACCTATAGAGGTGATAAACTGTCAAAGAAGTTTCCCTTTAATATTTTCCCCGAAAGTATTTTTGCTAATTTCACGATTCATGGGTAGAGTCTGTTCGTCACTTCGATGGGTCAGTCACACGTGGATCCAATCTGTTGGGTCTAGTTATAGGTTAGGGTTCTATATACTCTGTGCCTCTGTCAGTAAATAAATAAATAATTAAATAATTATACTGCTTAATTCGCTAGAAGGACGGTAAGACATGTCTTGCCATCTGTGTTGCCGTCGCAACAGCAACAAAATTGAAAAATAATTCGGAGTGTAATGCATTTATGACCAAAAATTAAGTACATCCTTTTCCCATCCTTTTAAATATTATTTCATACACGTGTCTGTTTTATTCAGCTTCGAGACAAGCTGTTGCTACTTTGGTACCACGAGAATCTACGAGTATTCAGCGACCGTCTGGTAAACGACGAGGATCGGAAATGGTTCGACGATCTCCTGCGAGATACCATGAGCAAAGAATTCGAATGCGACCCCGGCAAAGTTATCGGCGATGAGATGTTATTCTTCGGCGATTTCATGGGGACGAGCAGAGAATACGAGCAGATAACTGATACGAAGAAAGCACGTATTCCCTGTTATTTTAATTTACAATTTCGACCTCTGCGATATTGTGACCGGGATCTACCCTCACTTTGGAGAAATTAAAACAATACACGTCGCGTGACTCCTACTGTAGTTTTAAACAACGCACGACGATGTTAATCAGCTTCTTTAAGAACCGAACGTCACTCTTTAGCCTTGGCTTACAACCACGTGTGAGGCTCGTGGTCAGGTGTTCGAGCCAAAACTGGTTATCACGAGCCTGGCACGTTGTACATCGATCGGGTCGAAATTCACTATCACGTGCCTGGCACGTGGTACATCGATCGGGTCGAAATTCACTATCACGGGCCTGACACGTGGTACGTCAGCCGGGCCAAACGTAAACCATTGTAGCCAGTGGAAACGGTGGAAAAATTGTATAGATGTTTATTAAACAGGCGAACGGTTAGAACTGGCCTGTCTGTTTAGGGGCCACTCAGGTCAAAGAGGTCTCCAGAAAATGGAAGACAAAAGACAAAACGCAGGAGAAGGGATCGCTTCCACGTTGCTAGAATATAGAGTTTATTTTAGTATTTAATTTCTTACTACAACAATATTCAATTGCAAATATCTTAACAAATATCGAACAGTGACACCTACGATCATACACCTTCACCATCAGGAGAACATCATACAGAATTTGAATTAAATCGGTGACTCGAAGATCTCGCAGTCTCCTTGTTAGTTGGGTCACAATATTGACAGACCTGAAGGTTCTTTCTCCTTTCTGCATTTCCAATCTTATCTCTGACATTATTGCGAGGATTTATTTCCACGTGCTTGCACAGTAAATCGCTTTCAACGCGTAGAAGTATATCCTATTAAAGTCTTATATTATGAGACCTGAAATGTCTCTTGTTACACCCGATGTTCCTAATGTTCTTTCAGATGGAAAACGTGGTAGACGAATTCCTGGAAGACTACAATGCCTCGACGACGAGTCCCATGAAACTGGTGCTGTTCCAGGACGCCATAGATCATATCTGCAGGATTAATCGAATACTGCGACAGCCTCGAGGGAATGCTCTGCTCCTGGGAATGGGAGGATCAGGTGCTATAGAAAAAGCGTTCGACATTAGCTACCATCGGCCACTTTCTCATCCTTCTTTCTGCTCGAGACGCGCGATATGTCGGAAGACATCCCTCTGTTCATTGATAAACGAGCGGGTAACGAGGATAGATGCATGGATTACGAATTAGGCAGTTGGACGATAATAACAGGAACGAAAGAAGCCGTGCGAGCTGCTCGGGGAACTGGGTTGAAACTGCTCGTGAAAGTTTCATCAAAATTTGTAAGATCCTCGGAGGGATTCGAAGTTCCACGACTTTTTGAGTATTCGGAAAATGCTGAAGATGCATTTATAGGATGTTTGCGATCCCCGGAATTGATGTGGTCCCAGAGGTCTGCAACTTTCTGGAATTCTTAGTGGTATCTTTAGGATTCTAGAAATCTTGGGGGTCCTAAAATTCATGGAACATCCGAGTTTCTATAATTAATTATAAAGCTTTTAGAGTTACCGGCATATTTGTTACTCTTAGACCTCTGGGGACCTCTGTAAAGACTGCAAAGAAATCCTGAAATCATCACAGTTTTAGAAACTTCAGTGTCTTTATAGTAAATAGACCTCAAAATAGATAGGTGACCCAACTGAGTTTCTATAATTAATTATCGTGAAAGCTTTTAGGGTTACTGGGATCTTTGTTACTCTTCAACCTTTGGGGACCTCTGTAAAGACTGCAAAGAAATCCTGAAATCATCACAGTTTTAGAAACTTCAGTGTCTTTACAGTGAATAGACCTCAAGATAGATAGGTCACCCAACTTCATAGTAGATATAGACTAAGCTCAAGCTCAGAAAATGTTACAAATTATTTTTCTCCTTAACCCTTTTGCTAGGGCAGGTCTCTTGTAAAATAAAACACCGTGTCAAAGATGGAAGCATTACACGTTGACAGCATTTAGCATTCAAGACCCAGTGTTTCGAAAAAAAAGGAAAACTGACCATCGCAATAACGCTTGTAATTCTTTGCGAAGAGAGCACTTGTCTCAATTTTTGTGGTCGATGACTATAGTCACCCACAGTAATGAAAGGGTTATTATTGTAAGAATGGAACAAGTGCGGCGCTGAAAGAATGTTGACAGTGTTTAGGACCTAGGACTAGTGACGGTAGTAAGTGAGGATAGTGGAGTCCATGAGGAGTCGTAGTGAGGATATAGAAAATCGTAGATATAGCATAGAGGGTCAGAGTATGGAGAGTTTACAGAGTATCAGAGTGTTATGAGAGGTCAGTGATTTGCCAACCTGACAGTATGTATTTGGCAAAGTGCTTGAGAGATAGTGTTAGCGAGTAAAATTAGTCTTATCTTATTTGTTATTTGTTATCTTTGAAATGTACAACAATTATTAATCATCACCGATGCTGCTGTGTGAAAATACATATATACCTATTCGATCCAAATTTGTGTGTGTGTGTGTGTGTGTGTGTGTGTGTGTGTGTGTGTGTCATGTGTGTGTTTGTCACCCCCTACAATATTATTATTGTTATCATTGTTAGTTCCTCAGGTACTACCAGCACTATTTGAATAATTTTTGTACTTGTTCATATAGATTCAATGTTTTTAAAGATCTGAATGAATATTTTTCTTCAGGACGACAGAGTTTAACCAGATTAGCCGCGCATATGCAGGATTACACTTGCTTTCAAATAGAGCTTAGCAGTGCTTATACATCCAGTGACTGGCGCGATGACATTAAAGCATCGATGATGAAGGCTGGTGTACAGGGTCAATCTGTGGTCTTTTTATTTTCTGACACCCAGGTATGCGCATGTGAATACAGTTTATCATTACATGAAATCTATGATGTACCACGTTCGGTATAATTACAGTATTGTTCCCCTGTAAGAATTCTAACCAATTAGTTTCTACAGTAATTAACGAGCATTATACTTCCTGCGTGTATTCATATTTCAACGCTTCTGTAATTAGACCCTGGAAGCTTAATTCAGGTACTGAAGTTTAATCTTCATTAAAAAGGGAATTCCTGTAACCCAGCCAATTAAAATCGACTTTTGGGAATTTTCTCTATGGAAACCGTGATACATATTGACATGCAGTTTTCACGCTCAAATTTATTAATACTTGGAGAATATTTGCAATTTTTTTTTAACGAAATTATTAAAAATTGTGGAAATTATATAGCCTTAAGTAGGATCGTGATTTTAAAAACGGGCTCGAATGGCTGACACGATTCCGGACCATCCGGTTATCCGAAACGAAAAAATTAAAAAGCATCTTAATTAGTATAAATACAACTGTAGCAAGAACTATCGAAACAGCGAAATTTCGAAAATTAAAGAAATAGCAGCGGTTTCGAATATAAATATTGATTTTCTTCGTGTTTTTCGTCCCTTGCATGGTAAACAAAAATAGAAAAAAACATCGGATTTTAAAATCCGTGGTGCAAGCGATGGAGGTACATTCGATGAAGGTCTCCTCCAAATTTCGAATCGATCGGTCAACTAAAACGCGAGATATACCGCCGGCAAGTTCAAAAAGCACGGTTTCGAGAAAAACGCGTTTGAAGTTTTCGTTTTCCATTGTACAATGCCTCTATACCGCAATATAAATATCCACAACTTCGTCAATTTTAGGAATTCGAACAAATCCTTTTACACGGACATTTTCGAAAGCATATACTTTGAGAAAATGTAAAAAAAGAAAAATCGATTTTGATAAGTCTTAAGATTACAAGAATTATTAATTACTATATATAAAGATTGTCCCACGTGAAGTGGTGGTCTTTATGAATTTTTATCTAATTATATAAATTATCTATATTTAATGCTATTAAACTTTTCCAAAATTCTTTTGCATTATTCAATCTTACGTATAATAAATACCAAATCTCCAGTTATATGGTGCAAATTATATAGCAAACCTAACCTAACCAAGCCCAATATGGTCGTCTTTGTTGACTTCCTATCCCTTTGCTTCTCAGATAAAGGACGACTCCATGCTGGAGGACTTGAACAGTGTCCTGAACAACGGCGACGTGCCAAATATTTACAAGGTGGACGAAATGGAGAGAATTTTCCACTCGATGCGTGGGCATGTGCAGGAAGCTGGCCTACAAATCAACAGAAGCAACCTTTTCTCCGCCTACGTGAAGACAGTTCGTAATAACTTACACGTCGTCGTTACTATGAGGTAAAGTACTGTTTCTAATGAAAAGCCCACGTACCCCCTGCTGATTTCGTCGAAACTCGGCAGAGAAATAGATCAACAACGTCCCACCACTTACAAAATCATTGTGTGTACGCGTGTTCATGCGGGGATGTATTACTGGCTCTTCAACTAAGCGAGACCATTATAAATAAGCAGATATATATCTAAATCAAACATTTTTCGGAATTTTCCCTACCTAGTATCGTGCAAAAGTACAATTTTAATTCTATAACACGGAAATTTTACGATTTAACCTCTTGGCTAGTGTGGGCGCATATACGTGCTCAGAAATTTTACTTTTGTAACACAGAGGGCGCATATAAGCACTGAACACAGTTTGCTTTTCTGACACGGAGGGCGCATATAATCGATCGATGTTAATTAATATATGAAATTTAAAATTACCTAACGATGTGTGGAATATCGAAGAAAAATAATTCTACGTCTTAATTTGCATATGATTTCTCATTTACCGTTTTAAAAATATCCTCGACTCTATGACAGAAAGACTTTGAATTACTATTTTTCTGTAACGAAAAAATCGTCGAGTGCAAAGTGTTAATATTTTATCTGTAATTAAATAAATACGTTAGATTTTTAATTTTTATAGTAGCTATTCCGTCCATAATACAAAGAAATAAATATTGTTTTTTTTTTTAGTGAAATACAGTTTTTTGATTATTGAAATATGTTTTCACAAAAACGCATCTCTACCCAAAATTTTGCCGTTCTCGGCGGACATTGTAAATGAATTCCCACCCTTGTGGTACGACCACTGCGTTTCAAAGTCTGCCGTAGTCAAAGGATTAAGGAGACCATGAAATTACCATGAAAATACATGCCCCTCGAAATCATTTGAATTCGTGTTAACTGCGTTTCAAAGTCTGCCGTAGTCAAAAGATTAAGGAGACCATGAAATTACCATGAAAATACATGCCCCTCGAAATCATTTGAATTCGTGTTAAACATTTTTCGCTATAAGGATCTATAAGGCAGAATTTACTGACCCACCCTGTATATTATTTTACATTTTCAGCCCGATCGGTGAGACATTTCGCGCTCGTATTAGACAGTTTCCAGCTCTGGTGAACTGCTGCACGATTGATTGGTTTTGTCCCTGGCCGGATGCTGCTCTTCAGGTTCGTATCACAATCGTATGGTCTCTGCGACATTCGATATAATGAGAAGGAGTAAATTCTCACCACGCGAAATGCCGAAATGCACTGTAAACAAGAACAATCGGTCGACTCACGGATACAATGAAGAATGCAGTATAGAGATACTATAACGTAGAGCAAAAGAAGGAAACACACGCATAAAACACGATAAGTCCATTTCTATTCGTTTCCTGATTTCAAAATTAGGGCAGTAAAAGGAAACACAGCATTCTTTTCAAAACGGTTCATGTTCTGTCGTATCCAATTGTAGAATTGAAAAGGAGAGCAACACGGTAGGCACAAAAATGTATATATTATTTAAAATAGACGATAGACTGAAGAAATTTTATTTAAAAAGCTCAAAGACGCGTCTATTATTATGACCATAGATTTTAAATATTTAAGAGAACGAAATATACAACGAAAATATACAGGGTGTCCCAGCAACAGTAGTAGAACCAGGTGAGGGATGATTCTACGTGAAAAAGCAAATCGAAAATGAAGAATAAAATTTTTTCATTCGAAGCTTTGTTGTCGAGAAAACTGGCTTTGAATATTAACTGCGTACGCTGGCCCGTCCATTTTGTAAGCCAATGCACGCGTACGCGGTGAATATTGAAAGTCAGTTTTCTCGACAACGAAGCTTCGAAAGAAAAAATTTTATTCTTCATTTTCGATTCGTTTTTTTACGTAGAATCACCCCTTATAGGTTATATTATCATTACTGGGATATTCTGCATTTTCTGTATTCTTTTCTCTTGCTGAGACACCCTGTATACAATTATTTAACAGCTTTTGACAATTATCTAAAATGAATTGAATCTGAAATGATTATCTTTTTAAATATCTTCTTTAATGTTTTACAAGAGTAATTCTTGAAGAAATAGTCACTTGGAAACAGTGAAACCTAACCTAACCTAATATATCGTATTTCTTAATTCTACTTTCTCGCGAATGTTTCAAATTACAAGGTACTTTTCTACGGATGATTAGCATTTCTTGGAATCGTGTCGTTAGATCTTGTAAAGGCATGATTATAATTGCATCGTTTTCTCCACCAATACTAATGTTATTCTTTCAGAGCGTTGCGATGAGATTCCTCACTGATATACAGGATGAGTCCATTACTGAAAACGTGTTGATGTCGATTGTAAGAATGTGCCAACATATGCATTCCAGTGTGATCGATGCAAGTGCTCTTTATTTGAAGGTAAGATTACGTAAGAAAATTCATACGTATGTAAAAGAAACCTATGATATTCTTTGCTCCACGAATTTCAAAATCCGATGTTTTCTTCTATTTTTGTTTACCACCCAAAGAACGAAAAGCACGAGGAAAATCGATATTTAAATTTCAAAATGCTGCCATTTTTTTAATTTTCAAAATTTCACTGTTTCAATAGTTCGTGTTATAGTTGTATTTATACTAATTAAGCTGCTTTTAAATTTTTTCTATGTCTACTACTATATAATTTTTAATAATTTTATTTGGTATCCTATATTTTAAACTACAAAACACTATCCATAATTTGTATTATGCAAAACGTAAAATACAAATTGGAATTAGATAAGAATTAGTCTTTTGTGACATAACCTACAATCTCACGAGGAGAATAGTTAAGTAATCAATTTATTTTAGAAAATTCTGAATCGCAAAATCCAGATTTGCTTTTCACAGAATAATGAACAGAAAAATATCGTATTAAATTCGTTCCAAGAAATAAAAGATAAAATATTGCATTGCGTAGGAATTGAGTCGCCATAATTATGTTACGCCCACGTCGTACCTCGAACTATTATCTGGTTACGGTGATCTCCTGAATAAGAAGAAAATGGAATTACAGTCGGCAGCAAATCGGCTTTCCACAGGTTTGTAACAACCTGCTGTGATATCGAACTTGTAAATATATTTACGAACATTTTTATCGACGTAGAAAATATTCTCTGAACATTGCAAACCTTTCTTCCAGCTTGAAATACATCAACCACACTTTCATAATTTCATCCAATTTAAATCACAATTTTATTCAACTTTTGCACTCGAGAGGTGAGCTTCAGTCACCATTTCATAAAATTTGGAAGATCGATATTAATTAATATATCAAATTTAATGTAATGTAACAGTGTGCGAAATCTCGAAGTCAAATAATTCTACAATTCTATTATACAATTCTTTATTTACTGCTCAGAAAAGTATCGCCAGTTTTTTAGTAGAGAATCTGTTCCGTCGTGGAACAAGGAAGACCCGTTACGGTCTTCCAACAGCCAGGTCTTAGGGTCAAACAATTCGGCATCGGAATTTTCCTCTCCATGCCTTCAGCATGTTTGAATGCTTTTACCTTTATTCTGACTTCTCGTGTCGCGGAACACGAGAATCCTGGAAATCCCTAATTTAACGAAATTAGGCGACGGCTCTTAAGACATGGCTGACAATAGGCCTGAGGACTCCACGTGGTCCGCACACGTTGGAAGCCTCAGGCCCTCGCTAGAGGCCATAAACGACCGATGGGGTCACCAGCGCGTGAGTGGACCCCACGTACCTCACCTTGGAGGAGAGGGTTTCCTCCACTATCGTCTTCCTTTTGGGGGAACCTTCCCTTCCTCCAAGGTGATCGATTCGTGGACCAAGGGAATGCCCTTGGTCAAATCAGCCAATTATATTTGGCGAGCTCCCGATTTTTCCTAAGACCGATCTTAGGAAGATCGAGGAGCTCACACTTCCTTTCGAATCATCGAAGAGAGCAGTTAGCTTCGAATCGTCGAAGACACGCTTCTAAACGAAACCTCATAGAGAACGGCTCATGCCTAGAGTACCAGAGTTTAGCGTTCGACTCCAGCCGAGATCTTCCTTTTGCTCGTGCTAATTGAAACAGTTGTCCAAGATTAATTTGGCGGGCAACACAGCGAGGTCGCGAGACGGATTTACAACCCGTCCGAATACATCAAAGGATTCAATCGCGACGCAACAGAATCTTTGATTTTCTAATCTTCTCTAGCCAAAACATCATCGAGTGCAAAGGGTTAAATTTAGTCTTAACAAAAATAAAATTCTGTAAAATTTTGAAATTTCTCTCGAGACTACGTTTTCCAACCATTATTACATTTATATTTTAACCTAATTAAATACCACTCGGTTATAAATTATTATATGGATATATAAGTGGCCATTTTGGAAGCAATAAACTCGAGTACACTCGACAGAAGTATCACAGACCCTTTTCTATATAAACCCGCTGCAACAAAATACGATATCAACTGGAGGGCGGAATTTTAGGTTACACTTTATGCGTGTGTCACTGAAATCCACTGAATATTCTCCATCAGCTCGTTCTAGAGTCATCCACACACAAGTGCTACAGAAAGTACCGTCGCGATAGGTGGATTGGTTGCCCTTAAAAAATCGAAGGTGACACCGAAATTTCGAGGACCTTCGACTCTAAATTGCTTCGAGCCACTTTAGAAAAACGTTCGTTCGAAAAAATCAAGCATTTTTGACAGACAGGTCATCTCCTGGCTATAGACAATGCAACATGTATATATACAAATGGACCTTCATTCATTTCGTTGGAGTTATGAGCATGATCTCCTCTATTGGAAATTATGGTTGTGAGAGGAACCTTTTTCTTCACTCTAGTTTTCACTCTCCATGCGAACAGTCAGAATAATTAAGATATACCTTCCTTAGGATAGAATAAATAACTAAATTAATAATAAATAAATAAATAATTAATAATAAAATAAATAAATAATTATAAAATAAAGATAGTTACTAATTTTTACCCATAATCCCAACAATCAAAATCAAAAGTTCCTTTCGACTTATTAATCCGATCTTCACTACACGGTCGAATATATCCTAACCTCTAAAATTTCCAAATTCCAATATTTTTATACGTTGTTTCCTTCGTTTCAGGATTTTTCTACCTCCTTATAACATTTCGTTCTAAACTGTGGTTACATTTGTATCGACTTTTAGTCTTGAAACTAGGATTTTCGAAGATATGTAATTACACTGGGTTAATTTGAAATATTTATTAGGTTAAATTTTTCAATTTTTCAAGCTGGAAGTTGATAGTAATATTATAGAAAAATTTATATCTGGTATTAGGATAGGGTTCATGAATTTTGATCGTTTTCAAGGTTATCGAGGGGTAAATCTCATGTAGTTTACTGTCAGACACTTTTAGACTTAGGTTCTTTATGACCTTCGCAGTTTTCTGGCCAAACGTGTGGCTATATTACAAGAAGAAAATCATATATTACACAAGAAAAATGAAAATCTCTCTATATATATATATATATATATAAGAAGTAACAGAAAAATTAAGTAAATTTAACATTGAAATGAAAATAATCATAATACTACTTTATCATGAAGGTACTATAATTTTAGTTTACTCTGAGTGCCAATGAATATTCAATTAAAATTAATCATAATCACCTATTCAAATTTCTTAAAAAACGTATGTTATAGAAATATTAAAATATTTTATTGTAACTTGCTATTTATCGTTTATTTTATTTAAATTTATTTTATCCAGTTTTGTTAAGTTTGATTATTATAGTTTATCGTTCGATTTTCTTTTTCTCTCATTGCAAAGAAATTGAAGAGGAAAGTGTGAAAACAGGGTTAATGTCATTTTGAATTTCGTAGATATGTAAATTCAATGACGTACGTGTCAGGAGAGGTCATTTGTAACGCTATTTGTGACAAGATATGACCTTGAACGATTAATTAATTCCGGGTGTAAAATAGCGATTCCTAGTCACGTAACTGTCAATTATCACGTGATAAATCGTGGGAATACACGCGTCAAACAAACAAAGGTTGCATCGTATTACCAATACAAATAAGTTTCAGTGACATTCGACCTTTAAAAAAATATTTTACTAGAAAAACTGACCTAACCTTCATAACCTTCGTAAAATGCAAATGGCTCCCTCTAAATGTCAATCTTACTTTATTTTTAAGTATAATCATTTCCCATAAAATAGATCAAAATTATTCATCATCAGATAAAAATCCTAAATTCCAAAATAATAAATAATAAAAAATAAAAGGGATGCAAATGAAAAATAAATATAAAATTAAGTGTGCAATTTAAGTAGCATGTTCAGTGTTCTAAATTGCAACCCTTAACCTAAATTCCTTCCCACTTAACCTCTATTTAAGTTTCGCTTGAAACAAGAATGAATTTTTCAAAAAATTGACAACACGAAAATGAAATTCTTTGAAATATTAAACATCGAGACATTCCTTTACCTTTTTCAAAATAACAACCATAATTTCGACGCTCCCATTGTCCTACTGTCCTTTTAGCCGCCATTTTTGCTGTTAATTACTCCTTGCTCCTTAATTGCCGCAAATAAAATGAAAAAAAAAAAAAAAAAAAACATTTCGTTGGAGTTATGAGCATGATCTCCTCTATTGGAAATTATGGTTGTGAGAGGAACCTTTTTCTTCACTCTAGTTTTCACTCTCCATGCGAACAGTCAGAATAATTAAGATATACCTTCCTTAGGATAGAATAAATAACTAAATTAATAATAAATAAATAAATAATTAATAATAAAATAAATAAATAATTATAAAATAAAGATAGTTACTAATTTTTACCCATAATCCCAACAATCAAAATCAAAAGTTCCTTTCGACTTATTAATCCGATCTTCACTACACGGTCGAATATATCCTAACCTCTAAAATTTCCAAATTCCAATATTTTTATACGTTGTTTCCTTCGTTTCAGGATTTTTCTACCTCCTTATAACATTTCGTTCTAAACTGTGGTTACATTTGTATCGACTTTTAGTCTTGAAACTAGGATTTTCGAAGATATGTAATTACACTGGGTTAATTTGAAATATTTATTAGGTTAAATTTTTCAATTTTTCAAGCTGGAAGTTGATAGTAATATTATAGAAAAATTTATATCTGGTATTAGGATAGGGTTCATGAATTTTGATCGTTTTCAAGGTTATCGAGGGGTAAATCTCATGTAGTTTACTGTCAGACACTTTTAGACTTAGGTTCTTTATGACCTTCGCAGTTTTCTGGCCAAACGTGTGGCTATATTACAAGAAGAAAATCATATATTACACAAGAAAAATGAAAATCTCTCTATATATATATATATATATATAAGAAGTAACAGAAAAATTAAGTAAATTTAACATTGAAATGAAAATAATCATAATACTACTTTATCATGAAGGTACTATAATTTTAGTTTACTCTGAGTGCCAATGAATATTCAATTAAAATTAATCATAATCACCTATTCAAATTTCTTAAAAAACGTATGTTATAGAAATATTAAAATATTTTATTGTAACTTGCTATTTATCGTTTATTTTATTTAAATTTATTTTATCCAGTTTTGTTAAGTTTGATTATTATAGTTTATCGTTCGATTTTCTTTTTCTCTCATTGCAAAGAAATTGAAGAGGAAAGTGTGAAAACAGGGTTAATGTCATTTTGAATTTCGTAGATATGTAAATTCAATGACGTACGTGTCAGGAGAGGTCATTTGTAACGCTATTTGTGACAAGATATGACCTTGAACGATTAATTAATTCCGGGTGTAAAATAGCGATTCCTAGTCACGTAACTGTCAATTATCACGTGATAAATCGTGGGAATACACGCGTCAAACAAACAAAGGTTGCATCGTATTACCAATACAAATAAGTTTCAGTGACATTCGACCTTTAAAAAAATATTTTACTAGAAAAACTGACCTAACCTTCATAACCTTCGTAAAATGCAAATGGCTCCCTCTAAATGTCAATCTTACTTTATTTTTAAGTATAATCATTTCCCATAAAATAGATCAAAATTATTCATCATCAGATAAAAATCCTAAATTCCAAAATAATAAATAATAAAAAATAAAAGGGATGCAAATGAAAAATAAATATAAAATTAAGTGTGCAATTTAAGTAGCATGTTCAGTGTTCTAAATTGCAACCCTTAACCTAAATTCCTTCCCACTTAACCTCTATTTAAGTTTCGCTTGAAACAAGAATGAATTTTTCAAAAAATTGACAACACGAAAATGAAATTCTTTGAAATATTAAACATCGAGACATTCCTTTACCTTTTTCAAAATAACAACCATAATTTCGACGCTCCCATTGTCCTACTGTCCTTTTAGCCGCCATTTTTGCTGTTAATTACTCCTTGCTCCTTAATTGCCGCAAATAAAATGAAAAAAAAAAAAAAAATAGGAAAAAGAAGAAACGACGCAGAGAGGTCGAAACGAAATTTCCACGGGTCAAAGGTGAAGGACCCGTGGCGGTAAATTTGAAGGCGATAAATTAAGCAAGGCCCGTCTGATAGGAGCACGTAATCGATTCCTTCTACGCGCTGGCTATAAATATTAGCCACGGGACCAGGAACAGAGGCTTCTTAAATTTATTAGCACGTTTCCAACGGGCGAAAATTAGCCGACAATCGACGAAAGAATAAGCAATGATTATTTATATCTTCCATCTGATTAACGCGGTAGACGGAGTCCATTAGAGTTCGATCACTTATAGCAATTGTAATTCCCGAGTGACGTCTCGGAAATTAACATAATTAGTGGCTAAAAATTGTAAAAATACGTTCCTCGTTAATTTTTAAATTATTAATCCCGAGAATATAGCGGTATTTTTATAAAAATAAATTCTGTTACTTAAGGGATGAATTTCCTGAAATTTTGGTAAATAAAATTCAAATCGCCCCTGATCATTTTTCGAACAAAATTCGATTGTTAATGCTTGCAATGCCTTGACTCATCGATACCTCTGTTGTATAACATGTTATTTCTAATTGTTGAGGACTTTATGCTTTTAATTAGCCATCTTTAAATACGAAATTAATCTCATTATCTCACTGATGGATTTCGAGAAAAAAAGAAAGCAAATCCTATTACGAATGTAACATGAAATAATGAGAAGAGAAAATAATGCTTTAGCTGAAAGCTCGAATCTGCTTTTCCGTCCATTTTCTTACTGCTTTTTACCAGCTTAACTTTCAATCGGTGACGTACCTTTCTGCTATAGTATATTTTGGATATTTATTATATTTTAGAGACTATGGTGGTGGTAAATAATAGTACTCTATTTATTAATTAATAATAATGGATTGACAATGTTTGGTTACGATAAAGTCTACGAATATAGATAGATCAACTATTACAACTACAACTTAAGATCACAGCTTGATTTTACAACACAAATACAACTAAACTAACAACTTATACTTCTTTCTATACAACTCTGTTCTAAAGACTCCTCAAAAACTCTACACAAGAACTCTCCCAACATAACTGTTCGCTAACCACTTTTGCCTTCCTCTATATATTCCCCAAAAGCCTCCCTGATCATGACCAAATATGGTCATGCTGTAGCGACCATAATTCTCGTCCTCGCCGCTAGATGGATTCCGCCTTCGAGGACTTCCCCGCAAGTCCTCGGAAAACTCCCAGTTCCTATAAATATAACTTCCTGTCTTTCCAATAGTATCCCCAGTGTCTAAGCCAGGGCCTGCTAAGCAAGCATTTACTGATGAGTCCGCTAGCAGGCCCGGGACGAAATGCATCCCTTCCTTTTCCTAACGTCCCTTCTAGCTACGCCAACCACGAGGATACCTGTGACGAGCTCTAACATCAAACGACGGTGGAGGAGGACTCCCACAATGTTAAGGGCCTGACGCATCGCTGGAGTTTTTCCGACCAACCAGGCCCTCGAATCCTCGGTGATTTTCTAAACTGAAGTTATTACCTATACACGTGGTTGAAATTCTGTGATATTACAATATGTTATTCACTACATGATTCTACGTATTGATCATACTATAGGAATGTTGGGTAGGCGATAGAATAAGCAGTGATGTAAATATAAAAATGATTTATTTTAAACTAAAACTTACTCTAAGCGCTAATAACTCTCGGCTGACTATTACTTGCTATCTTTCAAAAGCTCTAGGATTGACAGTAAAACACACACTGACTCTTCCACGTCCATACACTCTTATTTAACGCTAGGTTTACGGACGCTATCTGTATACCTATTTCTAAGGACACCTGTCAAATTGACAGGTAAAGGAAATCACGATTAGTTTAATTTAAAAACAATTATATATTATATTAACAGTCTTGATATAAGTTAACTAAATCTGTTACCATCGTATAATTGCAGCAACCCTTCCGTCAAATTCACGGGTTCTGTAAATCTAGTGTTAAACATTTCACGTTGCCGAGCTGTCGATCTCATCCGTTTCAAAACTGACAATAATGCAACTGTGAATTAGGCTTGTCAATTATTCGAGTGTTAATTAAAAGTGAATGATTATTCGAGGTTAACCTTGAAACAGTAGCTGGAGAAGCGACTCTGAGATCAGCGACTTCGGACATCATCGTCATTGTTGGCAGGATCTTCATTATCTCACCAGATGTCAGACAAAGCTTCTTATTGTCGTCCAACACTGTATTCATGTTCTCGATCCATACAGCATCCACGGGTCCGTCGAATATGTACCAACGTTTATTTAAATCGCCCATAGCAATCCCGGCTCTGAGTAACGTCCAGAAAATTCCATCGGTCCTGAGAGAAACAAAAATTGTTACTACATAATTGCAAAATAAATATCGTAGCGTTCTATTCATCGAATCCCTTCGATGCCTAGTGTTAAACCTTGCACTCTGTCTCCTAAACACTCAGACGCATTCCTAGGCCTTCACTTGCATTCGGCTCTATCATAAACATCCCTTACATTCAATCCTCTTACACACGGTCGCTTTCGTTCCAAGCCCAAACACTCTTGACACTCTTTCAGGGCCGTATCTATTCCTTTCCTACATAAATAAACTTCAACAATTGCGAGACTTATGTAAGTGTCAATTAGAATAGTGTTTTTCAATTTTTATTTTCCATGATAAGTAGCTGAAATTGTTATTTAATTATTAATATTGTGTACCTTCATTTTAATAATTAATACAAAATAAAATTAAAATTAACGATATTATAAATGTTATAAATAACAATATTACAATTCGGAATTAATCTAACACGTGAAAACAAAAGTTTAATCCGAGAATAAATTTTTAGTAGGATTAAACTCGTAAATTAAATTTACGAGTAAATAAAATTGAACTGGAGTAAATTAAACTTTAAATTAATTCGAAAGTCTGAAATAAAATATATCCGATATTTTATCGTTTAATGGAAACAACGAAATTGAATGTGCATCTACGCAGTGCATGTTATTAAATTCCATGTAGCACAATGGTTTGACCGTTAAATAGTTTATGTAATCGAATTGCACATTCCTTCATCGATATATCAGCTAATGCGATTGTGTAATGAGTATCGTTAAAACGATATTACGTATGACATAACCTTAAAATTTTACGAAACGACGAAAGAAAAATATTTCAAAAAAGACAGCAAAATACGATCTTCAATTTGTGGCTTTTCGCTTTTCTTCGATTCGAATAGATCTTTGAACTTTCTTACAGGTTTGGATAAACTCGCGAGCGCAGAAGTGGAGGTGAAGAATATGCAACAACTACTGAGAGATATGAAGCCTAAGTTGGAACAAGCAGCGGAGGCGACAGCTAGGATGATTGAAAGGATTACACGCGACACCGTTAGTATCGGCTGTAGTTATCAAACATAATCGAAAGCTAGTTGACAATATTTGCTCTGAAAATACTCTTCAACGCGAATTTTAATCTGCAAACTCCATTAGGTGCTTCTAAGTCACCGAGCATAATTTCTACGCATTATTCTTACATTTTTAGAGAAACTTCGTTATCTAACACGAATTTGCTACACAGTAGCGTATTCTATAGGCTTTTCTAAGGAAGAAACGATGAAACAGAATCGTCGAAACGGTTTTCAATTCGATCAGATGAAGAAAATATTTGTCGCTAACGCGTATACAGGGTTTACCGTCACGCGGCCATTGCTCGCTCCTTTAATCTCGACAGTGCCGTAACTACGCGTAATCCCAGTAGCAACTGCAATAGAGTAAACATATAACAGCCCATAAAGTTCTAAAGGCAATTTGAAAATTTACAATAAACGGTAAATACCTTAAACTTGGAGCACAGCTCTTAGCTTGGTATGGTTTCTCAAAAATTGTACTTTGGGAAACAATACCAATTACCAGGTCTCACCACGTGGAGGTGGCTATGCATCGAGACCCGATATACGCAATAGTAGCGTAGCCTACTGGCGCTATTCGATCTTCTGTTCGCAGCCTTCATTTCACCACCAAATATATCTGTCCTGCATGTCATATGGCTAGCCGACCTAGAACCCAACAGAAATATCATACAATAAATATTTGTATTACTGCTTCAACTTTCAATGACATAAGAAATAATTCTTCGCATCCAATGGCCCTACGCTGCTGATATTCTACTAATAAAATAATTTTCTCCTGTTACAAGCGCTTGATTATTTCAACCAAATATTGTGTCCTTGCAACCAGGGTCTGCTATCACTAATAAAAGATGGAAAAACAATGGCTTATTACTTACACTATTTATTTACAACTTAAGGTAACGTTAATATAAAGACTTACACTCTTTTGCTCGATGCAGGTACACCTCCATGAACACAACAATGCTTCCCGCGTTTTACTCCAAACGTTTTTCTTATTGCCCAAGCAATCTTTCGATAGTACAAAGACACAATTTTCGTGACTCATTTACTCACTTTTACAATTGCATGGAAAAATTTCGAAAATATAACATAACAATCAACTACGCACCACGATTTGTAACACAATTGTACTTCCGTCACTGTATTTCTACACTGGACCGTCGAAATCGAAAAAGAAAATGGTCCACTACTTAGCGAATAGCTCACACTACGGTATTAAATGGAAAAATTCAAATTCCGAGCAGAAATTTCGAAAATCAAAAGCAAAAAAGTCGATTGTGCAACACGATCCGCCACCCACCTGTAACAATCGGCACTGTCTTTCGGCACTGAACACTTGAAATCCGAAAAAAATCAGCTCGTTAGGTTAGGTTAGGTACACTCTAAACAGATAGATTTCAAAAATGCGGTCCCGACGCGAATTTCCAAAAATCGAAATCAAAAAAGGCTACTACGCAGCACGACCTATGACCCGACACAACTTTCGGCACTATCTTTCGGCACTGAGCAATCGAAATACTAAAAAAATTATTAAACTCATTAGAGAATAGTTCACTCTACGCGGATAGATGAAAAAAATCCGGTCCCGCCGCGAAACTTCGAAGATCGAAATCAAAAAAGTCTATTACGCAGTATAGCCTGTCACGCGCCCGCACTTTCGGCACTATTTTACGGCACTGAACACGCGAAACGCGAAAAAAATTACCAATCTCGTTAGAGAACAGTTCACTCTATGGGGATAGATGAAAAAAATCCGGTCACGCCGCGAAACTTCGAAGATCGAAATCAAAAAAGTCTATTACGCAGTACAGCCTGTCACGCGCCAACCGGTCCCGAAGCGAAATTTCGAAGATCGAAATCAAAAAAGTCTATTACGCAGTACTCCCTGTCAAGCGCCCGCACTTTCGGCACTATTTTACGGCACTGAACACGCGAAACGCGAAAAAAATCACCAATCTCGTTAGAGAACAGTTCACTCTACGGGGATAGATGAAAAAAATCCGGTCCCGCCGCGAAACTTCGAAGATCGAAATCAAAAAAGTCTATTACGCAGTACAGCCTGTCACGCGCCCGCACTTTCGGCACTATTTTACGGCACTGAACACGCGAAACGCGAAAAAAATCACCAATCTCGTTAGAGAACAGTTCACTCTACGGGGATAGATGAAAAAAATCCGGTCCCGCCGCGAAACTTCGAAGATCGAAATCAAAAAAGTCTATTACGCAGTACAGCCTGTCACGCGCCCGCACTTTCGGCACTATTTTACGGCACTGAACACGCGAAACGCGAAAAAAATCACCAATCTCGTTAGAGAACAGTTCACTCTACGGGGATAGATGAAAAAAATCCGGTCCCGCCGCGAAACTTCGAAGATCGAAATCAAAAAAGTCTATTACGCAGTACAGCCTGTCACGCGCCCGCACTTTCGGCACTATTTTACGGCACTGAACACGCGAAACGCGAAAAAAATCACCAATCTCGTTAGAGAACAGTTCACTCTACGGGGATAGATGAAAAAAATCCGGTCCCGCCGCGAAACTTCGAAGATCGAAATCAAAAAAGTCTATTACGCAGTACAGCCTGTCACGCGCCCGCACTTTCGGCACTATTTTACGGCACTGAACACGCGAAACGCGAAAAAAATCATCAATCTCGTTAGAGAACAGTTCACTCTACGGGGATAGATGAAAAAAATCCGGTCCCGCCGCGAAACTTCGAAGATCGAAATCAAAAAAGTCTATTACGCAGTACAGCCTGTCACGCGCCCGCACTTTCGGCTCTATTGTACGGCACTGAACACGCGAAACGCGAAAAAAATCATCAATCTCGTTAGAGAACAGTTCACTTTACGGGGATAGATGAAAAAAATCCGGTCCCGCCGCGAAACTTCGAAGATCGAAATCAAAAAATTCTATTACGCAGTACAGCCTGTCACGCGCCCGCACTTTCGGCTCTATTTTACGGCACTGAACTCGCGAAACGCGAAAAAAATCATCAATCTCGTTAGAGAATAGTTCACTCTACGGAGAAAGATGAAAAAAATCCGGTCCCGCCGCGAAACTTCGACGATCGAAATCAAAAAAATCTATTACCCAGTACGGCCTGTCATGTACCCGCACTTTCGGCACTATTTTACGGCACTGAACACGCGAAACGCGAAAAAAATCATCAATCTCGTTAGAGAACAATTCACTCTACGGGGATAGATGAAAAATATCCGGTCCCGCCGCGAAACTTCGAAGATCGAAATCAGAAAAGTCTATTGCGCAGCATAGTCCGCAACACGATTACATTTTCGGCACTATATTTCGGCACTAAATCGAGAAAACCGAAAAAAAATCAGCCCACTCGTTTACGAACAGTTCACTCTACGATATTAGATGGAAAAGTGCCAGTCCCGGAGCGAAATTTCTATACGCAACATAGTTACATTTTCGGCACTATATTTCGGCACTGATCTGTCGAAATCGAAACAAAGTCGGTGCATTAGTTAAAGGAAAGTATAATCAACGCTGTTATATCGAAAAAACCTAACCGGAAAGACTAGTATCTGAAATATAAGCGAAGAAAGTATTACGGTATACTTTCTGTGTATTACGGATTTACAGGCACAGACAGTTTCGTTGCTTTATTTCACATGTGCCCCTTCCCACTAAAGAAATGTTCACAGTTAGTAATCTTGAACTTTGTAACCTTCTTCCAATTTCTTAAACTTGTCCTATTTGTAAATATTACGATAATGCTGCAAACGTAACCTACAACTGCAATGTTACGAACTAATACCCGATACGTCGCGTTATTTTTCTCATATATATATATATTTCTTCAGTTGTAGTAATTAAAACGACAATTATTGGTATCGCTACTGCACGAAACGTTCTTACTAAATCTTTAATGTTTCACTTTGACGCGCGAGAATGTTCCACCACGTGTTGCCGGTATGCTCGTTTTGCCGCTAACTGGAAGTGGGCTGCGGCCGGAAATGGTAGGTATTTTTGTGGCGGGTAAATGCTGCGTCTTTGAAATGTGCTAAGGTATCAATGTAGAATATCAAACGATGTTTCGTACATTTATTAATATCAATGATGCAAATATAAATATATTTTTGTTACTGAAATGACAAATTAAAGAATGCTTAATTTCTTCTACAAAGACATTATATATTAATAATATTAATTATAAAATTAATATTAAAAATATAATGTAGAGTAATATGTATTATATAGTAGTTACAAAATTTGGTAGATGAGCATTTTGAGCACCTTTATTAAACATACTTCTTGAGAACATTAATTTCTTATATATAAGTGGTTAAAACTACTTTTTCAACGAAACCATTTAGTCAGACCTATCCAAAGAAAGTATGTATCACTTGGTTATAATACAGCTACAAATATTTTTCCCATTGCTAATAAGATAAGTTTATGTTCAGTTTCAAGTATACTTATGACAAATATAAAATGTTATTGTTAAAATTAAGATTGATTAAATAGTACTTTTAATAAAACAGTTTACCTAACTTTTGCGGTGATAGGTGGGAGAAATAAAACAGTAAAACGATATAAATAACTATCACACATTCTCGTCCCTTCTTTTTATTCTCTTAACACCTCATAAAGCTTTTTACATTCTTTAACAAATTTGGGCCACTCAGTGGTTTAGTTAGACAATTAGCATTCGTTTCTTTATCTGACATGTAACAAATTTGCATGTTCTTAGTTTTTACTACATCACTTATATAATAACATTTTTCTGTATAAGAGCTTAGATTTAATTTTCTATATTTATCGCATTCAATCTGTGACACATCACAATCTTTCTCACCTCCTTTTCCAGTAATACTTCATATATCAGTCTATTTATCCACACAACACATTTCATTGGTTTCTGTCCCTTTTCCATTCAATTCAAGACAATACACACCCTCAAATATCTTAATATCCGCTTTAATTCATTCATGTCCATCATTTTAAGATTATGGTTAAACTATGAGAAACATCCTACTGCAAATGAGATGTTTGGCTAACATAAGTATTCAAATACATGAGTTTCCCTAATAATTCATGATATTGGTTTATCTTGCATCTTCTGCTGTATCCATATTGATATTTACATCCATTGGAGTTGACACTGCATTCAATTCTATCATTCTATAAGATTCCGACAATTTTTTTATATAGTTTCTTAAATACATATGGATTTTTCCACTGCTCTGTTCCATTTGCATTCCCAAAACTGTTCTAGCTTCCCCCCATAATTTCAATATTCATTTCTTGTTCTATCATATCCATAGTTTTTCTTTCATATTCTTGATTGCTTACTATTATAACCATGTCATCTAAGTGTATTCCGCAGTATAGAAATTTAAGATTTTCTACAAATTTAGATTATAAAAATTTTGCTAAATAAACATGGATTATTCTTTGACTGGTGTAACCCTTTTTTGATTGACACATAAGTAAAGTATTTGTTCCAACACTATCCTGCCTGTTTTAATCCATAAATCCAACAATTTCTAATTCATCATTCTTCTTATATCTTTCCTCGTTTTCATTCTTCAAAATCTGAGCCCCATTCATTGTTTCATAGAATTTCACATGACATTCATTCCTCACCTAGTTCTCTTCTGGTTAGTGTATTCTGTATGTATTGTTTGGTACATATCCTATAAATATTCCTTTGTAAGTTTTTGGTTCAAATTTGTGTACTAAATCCCCTTTATTCAACCCATAGAAAATGCTAACAAATTTTTTCATATAACTTATGTTTGGCTTTCTTTTGTGCTAAACCTCATAAGAAGTTCTTTGATGGTCAGCTAACTTTGTTTGATTTTTTATATGGACAGCTGTACTCACTGCTTCTGCCCAAAAATACATTGGCAAATCTGATTCCATCATAAGTGCCCTTGTCATCTCTCTAATGGATCTGTTCTTTCTGTCAGCAAACCTGGAGGTCTTGTCTCACAAACTTACCTCCATTGTCTAAACATATAAGTACTTTTCAACTTCTTGACAGATTGATTTTCTTTCAATGTTACCAATATTTTCATTTTCTCAGCTGTCTGACCCTTTTCGTATAATAGCAAGACTATTAATCACTCTTGAATAATCATCAGTAGTTAAGACGTACCTTTATTTATCGGTCCAATTAAATCCATGTGCCACAGTCCCATTATTTGCAATTTTTTCTCATTTCCCATGCACTCTCCTGCTCGCTTAGAGAAAAATTAATGAATTACTCAAATTACTCAAAAAGCAAAATGCAAGTCCTTCGGGTCATGGATTTAGTTGAAACTTTGCAGGTTTGTAGATTTCGTTATACAGTTTAAGAAAATATATCATAATAAGGACAACTACTTAATAATTTTTGAGATACTTATGATTAAAGTTTTATTATGGCCTTAATTACATATTTATTCCATGTAAATATAAAGTATCATAGTGGTCTAATGACGACATTTAAAAGTTCCAACGTGGTGGTCCGGGGTTCGATTTCGTCTGTTGTAATTAATAATTTTTTTCAATCTATTTTTATTTTGTATTAATTTTTCGCCCATGAAAACAAATAATTTTAAATAAATAGTAAATAACAATATTATATAACAATAACAATGTATGAAGAATAATATTATATACAATAACAATATTAATTTGTTATTAACAATCAGTGTAATAATTTATAAATTTTTTGCAAATTATCAATATAAATTGAAACAAAAATCGTTCACATACACGAATGAAAAATTCGATTAATCGATATAGATCGAAGCGGAGAAAACCAAAGCAGAGGCAGAAGAGCAAGAAGCAATAGCCGCGAAAATGAAAGTGGAAAATCAAGCGATAAGAGACGAAGCGGAGGCAGATTTGAGTGAGTTTCCTTAATTTCCTACTCATTTTCGTTTCACACATCGGTGTACTATGAATAATATAATTATTTCGAAGTACTTTGTACACACTTCCAACTCGTCTTTTATTCTTCCTTCGTGATCCAATAAAGATACATCGTTTGTAATTTATTTTAATCTTCATCATTCCATGATATTATAAAGAAAACGTTTCGTTTTTTCGCATCTACTTAAATGACATCGATCATGTAATGCGCCATCTTAAATTACTCGCAAATTGTTCCTTATACGAGAAAATAGTACAAACAAAAGTCGTACGCTATCAAAGAGCACGGTACAGCCATCGATTTATTTCTTACTCTGCTTTTTTGTCGAGATACGAAGGTTACCTTAGGTTTTCTTACAATAAGACGTGTAATATTAGATCTTACGATTCGAAGGAGTGTATAACGGCTGAACAAAAAATTCTGAGGATTTCAAAGGCAGACATTGCCAAGATAACCTTCAAATAATTTTATTATGGTAACTCTTTCTACTCGAGAGGCGAGCTTGAGTCACCATTTAATCAAATTCCAAAGATCGATGTTAATTAACTCTCGGAGTACGGTTCCTCGCTCAATGGTAACGGGGTCTCTCGAGACCCCACCCTTATTCCGCTATTCCTAAATTTAAAATAACGTAACGATCATCTTGCACGTGGTCACTTTGGTTCTATGTCCCAAACACTCTAAACATTCTTTCAGAGCAGCACTCGTTCCAATCTTACATAGACTATAAAGGACAGCGTTAAGGTTTTTAGAACAATCCCTGATTTAGCTAGTCTTTGTTCCAATGATCTTTCTTTTAAATCAGCATGCAGGATTCTAGCGAAATGGTGTGTTAGTGACAAAGAGAAATTGAAGGGAACTTAGAACTATAGCATATTCTCCAGAAATTGACGTTCAAAACGTTTTAGTTTTCGTGAAAATTGTTAAAATGGCAGCTACTTATATCTATAAGAGTCGATCTCGACCTAACCTTTTCTTAACCTCAGTTTCAAATATGCGTTAACCTACCACAAACCCACAAGAATTAACATAATTAACATTCCCATCATAAAACGTTCTCTCTGTTACTTGCCTTTGTCCAGCAGTTAAAATGAATGATAATAGCAATCTCGTTACTTCAATAAAATAATTGACCTCTAGACTAGAATATCCCCTTGACCAATACCATACCAGGACCATTTAACGATGCAATCGGCATTGCATCTGTTACAGGTGAAGCGCGTCCGATGTTAATCGCAGCCGAGAAGAGCTTGAAGTCGCTAAATAGAAACGATATCACCGAAGTGAAAGCGATGAAAAGGCCTCCACTTGGCGTGCTTTTGGTTATCGAAGCCATTTGTATCATAAACAACGTGAAACCGGTTAAGGTTCGCAGAGGTTTGAGTATTCGATACGTGAGACGTAGGATACTGTCATGATTGCTACGAGGTATTTGAGTTTGGGAGGTTAGGGGGTTATTCAAGTCTTGCGTGACTTTTGGGACATCCTATATATTTCGTTACACGACAAAGCCGATAAATTCACGTAAGAAGGAATTTTGATAGAAACCACAGGTTTTCAATTAGAAATTGAAAATATTATTCAACAATGAAGACACGTTGTTCTTTCATGCAGCGTTTTATTTTTAATAACCCTGAATTTTGGCGCATTTTGGCGTGAAATTCAAATCTTGCGTGAATTTTGGGACATCCTATATAAAAGACAAATCGCACGTGTGTCTGATATTTTTGCAATCGACTGTACATTCCTTAACGTACAGGCGGACCCTGGGAAATTCGGTGCGGAAACGAAATTAGATTATTGGACTCCAGGTAGTTTGATGCTCGCTGATCCAGGTCATTTCTTGTACACCATGGAGAATTATGACAAAGAGAACCTTACCGAAGAAATGATTAATAAGCTGAAAGTCTACATCGAAAATCCGAATTTTCAGCCATCGAAGGTTCGTTATTGTTATTTAATGCTTCCCAATTACCAAAATTTTACCATTAATTTAACTATTAATGAAACATAACCTTAAATTCAGTGGGCCATTAAAGATACGCTATTACATTAACGATAATAAATCAAATTAATGACTCACTGAATTTGAGGTTATGATTTAATTAATAGTTAAATTAATAATGAAATATTTTTGTTTATTATTATGTTATATTATATTTTATTATATATATTATGTTATTGAGTAAAAATAATTTTCACTTAAATTATTTAATTTCCTTTAATATTTAATGGAACACCTTGTACATTCCAAATCAGTGCACAGAATCTAGATCCCATATTAATTCCTCAGTCTATCAATCATTCTCCCGATAAAGAACCTTCATGAACAGACATAGCTCGCCAGCTTCTAGGAAAATTCAAGGCTTTAATGTTCTCGTTTACCTCGTTCGCAAGAAATTCTTATCTAAGTATAAAGTATCCTTAAAACGATACATCATGCTAGAAAGAACGAAATTAGAAGCAAGTATAGTACGAACTATATCACTATAGCATAAGCTACCGTGAGACACCTATACTAAAATATTCTTATTACTTTTTGGCAATTTGAGGTTAGCTGTAAACAATGTCTCCTATTATTTTCTTCCAAATTTTTTGTTTCGCGTGATATCAAATTTCACCGTGGTCCTGTATAAATTCCTATCGGATTTATCTCTCCTCCCAGGTATCCCTAAAGGATCTCTACGCGTAGGTGGGATCATTGACGTCGAATAGAAAAATTTGGACGATTTTCGCATTATACAACCCCCACAGGAATACTAAGCATCCTTTCCCTAGGTTAATTTCATAAATTCACAAATTCGTGATTCGTCGGTTCCAAATCCTTTTGGAATATTTATTCTATCGATATTTCGGAACGTGAGCTGTGACTACGCCAATGTTGGTAAAGAAAACATGATCGAATTTGCCAAAATTTAACTAGCAAAATTTTCCAAGATATTGAAATGATTTTTGAACTTGAGTAGCAGATTAAATCAGACGCTTCGTAGGGTAACTAAGTATTTTATTAGGCCCCCAAAAATGCACCCCCTGCAGTATTATAGGGGTGTATGTCCTTCCCGCAGTCTTGTCTTTAAGTGCACCTAACCTAACCTCTTCATCGAATTCATCGAAATCCTGATACCCGAGCCTTGCGTTTAAGCATGCCCGCTGTAGTATAGTGTGTTCGACAAAAGAAGGCACAGCGTGTTTACATTCTCACAGCTGATTAACTCTACTAACACTCTCATGATCACAGTGACCTATTGGCGGAAGAGGGTGACGTAGATCATCGATCACTGTCTTTGGACAATGACAGTTACAACTTGGGATCAAGGGACTATCACAGTGACCTATTGGCCAGAGATGATGACGAAGATCATCAGTCACTGTCTTCGGAGAATAGGTCACTGTGATCAAAGGACTATCAGCGGAGTTGATCGGCCGTGAGGATGTAAACACACTGTGCCTTCTTTTCTCGAAGGCACAGTACCTTAGAGTAGGGGTTAAGAATATCTTCCTAGGGTGTCTTCCTAGGATGTCATCCTGTTCCAAGATGTCTTCCTATGATGTCATCCTATTCCAAGATGTCTTTCTCTCATCGGAAGACAAGTGGCATCGGTGAAAGTTGCCCACAGATAGTTCTGTTTCTAAAAATTTTATAAAAGTTTCTAAAAATAATATAAAATTGATGACAATAAAATTTCATTTAAATTTCTAGTCTATTCTAGTCTGCACATCCCTATCCTTATTAAAACCATCATAAAAACATGGTACAAGTATTACAATTACGTCGTACAATTTTATGAACACTTTCATGTTGCAATTTTTCGTGATTTTCTGCAACATTTTTAATTAAATATTTAAATTCTTGTCTGTCGAGTTGTGACGTACCTATTCGAACTTCATATTCAAAGGACGATGCTGAAATTAATTAAAATTTGTTCAGTTGCGAGTTTATTTTTCACCTAGCTCTGTCAGTAATATGTCGATACTTGAAAGAGACCAGTTATGCAGCTGGTTGTTATCAACTTTTGCCATCTTATTAACAAGATGAAGCTCGTTTTAAGACATCCACGATATTTCATGAAGGAGACATCTTATATTTCATTGTCGTTTACAGCTTTGCATCCTTTGTCAATATTTTCCTGCTATTCCATAAAACAACGACTAACTGTACACCTTCAAACGACCTTCAATGCGAATATGCACACGACGTACGTTTGACAGGAAGAATATTGTCGATAATAATTAACGCGTTACGTCGTGTCAGTCATCGATGACTGACACTGAACTTCCCACTTGGACCCAACAGTCACCGATGAATGACAGTGCAATAGTGTACGTTAATTGACAATACAAAATTAGCAATTAACACTAGGTTTACGAACGCTATCTGTATACCCATTTCTACATATTTGACACCTGTCAAATTAACAGGTAGAGTGTGGTAAAAGGATCGGATTTATAGAAACTGAACTTTAAACTTTGATTACATTTTATTCTCTTGCTGCCTGAAAGAGTGTGTGCTGCCTCGAAAAAAAAGGTTCTTATAGACCCTATGACTACTCATTGCGTCACTCAGTCCTGCTTTGAAAACTGATAATCTTGATGGTTCCTCGAAGCAAACGTAGATCCCAATGCAGGCTGACGCCAAATTGTTCCCACGCGTCGCTCTAGACGTTTCACGGTCTAGGGCTGTTATTGTTGTTCGGTAGCCGAATGTTAATCTGTTTCCACCTCACTCCTTCCTCGGAGTCGCGATTCTAACTGACGGTTTTTATGTGATAGTTTCAGAGTTCGAAAGTGACTGTTCGAATGTTTGAATTTGACTGTTTGAACGTTGTGGTTCGACTGACTGACCCTTTTGCGTTAGTCAGTTCCTCGTCTTGGCACGTTGAGGATCCGCGCTGATTGGTTGTTTAGAAAAATGTTAATTTCCCAATTAGTGGCATCCTAAGTGTCGTGATCACCCCTTCCATGCGCCCTTGGCGCGCCTTCTCCTGCAAAGGTGGGATGACACTTGAGCGGGCGTGAGGTCATGAGTTTTTCCTAAGTGTTACGGTGTTCGTCCAGGTCCGGTGCGTCGGTAGTTTGCTACCCTTAGCGGGACTTCGGGATGACCCTTCAGAATTACCGAGGTTTATAACACGTCCTTTGGCTATTCAGCGTAGGCGAAATGAAGATTTGAAGAATATTAGTTTCATTGCCCCCGAGAGCCCAACTCTAAAATAGTCTGTCTTTCAGATCGTGTTATAAACCTTGGAAATACCGACCTCACGACTTATTTAGCGATGCCAAGGCGGGATACTCCATATGCACCGCGCAACACAAGTAAAGACTTCTCTCACAAAAGGAGACCACGTGTCATTTTTTTTTAATAATTAGTTTAATTTAAAAGCAATTACAATATTAATAGTCTTAATATAAGTTAACTAAATCTGTTACCATCGTATAATTGGAGCAACCCATCCGTCAAATTGACGGGTTCCGTAAATCTAGTGTTAAATTAGTAAGAAAATAAAATTATACTTTACTCCTGGTCTCATTTAGCTCGAAATAAATATATATTGTGAGATGGCGAATGGCGAAGGACTCTATCGAGTAATAAACAGGGACATCGGCTTTGACGAGGTGAATGAGTGCACGGAACGCATTGAAGCGTTTGGGCAGCTCCTTGAAAAGCAAGGAACGGCGGTATCAGGTATTTGGCGCAGAAAGGACAAATGATAGCGGCAAATCCTTTTGTCGGAATGTCTGTAGAATGATTGAGAGAGAAAGCGTGTCAGATCTGGCATTCAATAGGGATGCAATGGCGCGAGGCAGGCAGACGGGGTGTAGTCGAGAATAGAGCGTGTGTGGTCAAGACGTTGAGTGTTATAATTGAAAGAAACCTGGTGTATGATGTCAAATCTGGCATTAAATAGGGATGCAATGGCGCGAGGCAGGCAGACGGGGTGTAGTCGAGAATAGAGCGTGTGTGGTCAAGACGTTGTCATAATTGAAAGAAACCTGGTGTATGATGTCAATTAAATAAACTTGTTTTGTTATTAACACGTTGAGTGCTACGTCAGTCCCTAGGGACTGACAGTAGACTTTTCGTTTGGACGGTGTGGATTCTAGGGACTGCCAGCGAATTTTTCGTTTGATCATCATCGGTGCGTAAGACTGGCATTGTCAAGGGTTAAATTATCAATGACAATTAATATATTGTAAAAATTTTATTCCCTCTGCTAAAGTAAATCTTTACACTTCCGTGGCTGTTTTCGACTGATCGTTTCTTGGTGATCGCCTTTTTGCCTTTCTGGCATTCCCCACCCCATTATCTTCTGTTTATAATTTGTATATTTGTGCATTGGCTGTACCATTCTCACAGTCCAAACGACAAAGTGAAACAAAGTAATCTTCTGCTCATATCCTTCGGTATACTTGAGCGCTCGGCATCAAGTGCTCGCTAGCTGCCGTCTGAGCGGAAAGTATAGCAAAATCGGCGCCGCACTCGACGTGTTAAAGAGAGTTGTTCTTTATTAGACACGCAGATTTTGCTCTGCGTAGGATTAATATAGCTAAAAATCCTACAATATTGTGGAATAAATATCTAAGTATCTAAATATTCCTCGGCAAAAAGATATGTGATAACACCTGGCTAATCGGTGAGCAAGGAGCTTGGCGCTTAACGTATTCAGGAATTATATTTTTAGTCAATTCCCAACGAAAATCTCGCAATTTCAGATCGAGTACGTGTCAAAGGCGTGTTACTCGTTGTGTCTGTGGGTGCACGCGATGTACAACTACTACTTCGTGAGTGAGAAAGTAAAACCGAAGATGGAGGCACTGGCCAAAGCAGTGGAGGCTCTAGTCGAGACGGAGAAGGCCTTGACTGCGGCGATACAAAGGCTGAAAGATGTGGAAGAGGGTGTCGAGCAGCTGCGAAATCTCCTGCGAGAGGAAGAGGAGAGGAAAGCGGAACTCGAGAGGGAAAAGCAGCTTTGCGAGGATAGGATGGGCAGAGCTGTCAGACTGATCGACGGTCTAGCCGGCGAGCAGATACGTTGGACCTCGACGGTAGCCGAACTACGTACGTCCCTGAAGAACGCTGTTGGTGATATCCTGCTCTCTTCCGGTACGAAATAATGGAATATTCCTGTAATCCGGCCAATAAAAATCGACTTCTTTGTGATTTTTTTCTATGGAAACCGTGATATATATTGTTACACAGTTTTCACACTCGGATTCACTTACACTTGAACAATATTTCCAATTTTTTTCTAACGAAATTATTGAAAATCGTGGAAATTAATTAGGTCTTAAATAGGATCGTGTTTTTGAAAACGGGCTCGAATGGCTGACACGATTCCGGACCATCCGGTTATCCGAAACGAAAAAACTAAAAAGCATCTTAATTAGTATGAATACAGGCTATAGCACGAACCATGGAAACAGCGAAATTTCGAAAATTAAAAAAATGGCAGCGTTTTGGAATTTAAATATCGATTTTCCTCGCGCTTTTCGCCCTTTGAGTGGTAAACAAAAATAGAAAAAGACATCGGATTTTAAAATCCGTAGTGCATGCGATGAAGGTGCATCCGGTGAAGGCATCCTCCAAATTTCGAGTCGATCGGTCAACTAAAACGCGAGATATCCCGTCGGCAATTTCAAAAAACACGGTTTCGAGAAAAACGCGTTTGAAGTTTTCGTTCCCCGTTGTACAATGCCTGTACGCCGTACTTTAAACCTCCATAACTTCGCTAATTTTACGAATTCGGACAAATCCTTTCGTACAGTAATTTTCGAAAGCATCTACTTTGAGAAAATCTAAAAAAAAAATTTTATTTTTTTAAGCCAGATCATAGCTAGAATTGAGTTCGAGATCAAAAGTTCTTTTAATACATAGTTTTGAAACCTACAATTACCTATGGTTATCCTTGATTTTCCTATTACTTTAACAATCTTATCTGTAATAATCTTGGCAGTAGTATTCTGGGGTTAATCTAAACGTAAAGCGAAAAATTTGAAATAGAAATTGTAGAAATCACTATTGCTTTATTTAGAAATCACTATGATATGGCTAGAGAAGAGTAGAAATTCAAAGATTCTCTACTAAAAAACTGACGATACTTTTTTGAGCAGTAAATAAAGAATTGTAGAATTATTTGATTTCGATACCTCGCATATTGTTACATTACCTTAAATTTGATATATTAATTAATATCGATCTTCTAAATTTGATGAAATGGTGACTGAAGCTCACCTCTCGAGTGCAAAGGGTTAATTATAAACAAGTGTATTTATTCATGAATATATCTCGTCTGTTTAACACGTGACTGTTTTCTTGCTACGCTACGCTACAAGTTCCCCTTTGCCGTCGCATGTCTATTGTTATAGATAGTAGTAGCCTAAACACCCGTAAGATGGCGACACAAGTCGCTCCACTGCGATCAACCAAGGCAGAATACAAATGTATATACTGTATGTATACTCAACAGAAGTATAAGGTTGGTTCGTATCATCTATCATGGTTAGACGATGCATTACGTACTTAGTGAATAGAGAATGGTGTGTTTGAAGGTTAGAATTGAGAGAAACCTAGTGTAATGTTTTAGTTCAAATAAATCTGTTTTTACTCGTGTTACAGGAGCAATAGCCTATTTGACGCCATTTACGGACACGTATCGAGAGACCCTTTTAACATCCTGGCAAAAAATTTTGGGCGAAGGAGTGCCACACACGTCAGGCAGTAGCCCTGTGTCGACTCTCGGGGATGAAGTGGAGATAAGAAAATGGCAAATAGGAGGGTTGCCCAGGGATATGTTATCCGTTGAAAACGCCGTCTTGGCGATGCACTCGAAACGTTGGCCGCTTTTCATCGACCCTCAAGCACAGGCAAACAAGTGGATACGCTCTTTAGTAAGCAATCGAGATACGTTTCGCTCTGCTATATTGTGTCAAATCCAATTCGACGTTTTACGATACTAAACGATGATACTAACTTAGCAATGGAATATTAATAACAAATTTTAGCTTCTACAGTGTTAAGAACACTGAATACGTGTTGTTCTTCCGTGTAGTCCTCCATTTTTAATAACCTCGAACTGTCAGCTGTTACTCTGTCTTTATTATTTCGTTGACAACGCCTTGCCACACAAATGGCGTAAAATTCGAACCTTGCTTGATTTTTGGGACACCCTATATATATTAAACAGAGACAGACTTCTGTACTGTACTTTTAGTCAATTTTATAGGGTTTCGTTAATTATTTTACCGTGATTGTACGTAGTACAAGGACAATGGCATATCCATTGCCAAGATGACAGACAGAGAGCTGCTTCGCGTGCTCGAATCCTGCGTACGATTCGGCAGAGCCTGTCTCATAAAATTAACTGATCACGCACATGTTTGTGCAAACATTGGTGTTGCATTACTGCAGATTGATGCTGGTAACAGCAAAGGTTAGACATATCCTGTCGACTTTCCAAAGGATTAAATTAAGGATTAATTTAAAAATACAAAAGCACAAAACACGTACAATAGAGTCAATGTTAACCTAAGACAAAAGATATAATAGACGTACGGTGTGTGAAATACAGAATATCCCAGCAATGATAATATAACCTATAAGGGGCAATTCTACGTGAAAAAACGAATCGAAAATGAAGAATAAAATTTTTTCATTCGAAGTTCCGTTGTCGAGAAAATCGACTTTGAATATTCACCGCGTACGTGCGCAGTTAACTTTGATTTCCAAGATGGAGGGACCATCGGTATGCCACCGCACTCGGTGGACATTCAAAGCCGATTTTCTCGACAACGAAGCTTCGAATGAAAAAATTGTATTCTACATTTTCGATTCGCTTTTTCACGTAGAATCACCCCCTCCTCGGTTCTACTACCGTTGCATTCTAATACCGTCTGTATTGTCAGAAAGTGTCCCTTATTGCACAGCTAAGATGCTCAGTACCTCAAATTGGTAGAGCAGTCGGACAGAGAAGTCAGACAACCTACATCAAACACGACTGCCTTCGTTTACAATTGGTATCTCGTCTCTTTCTACGAATTATAATTTTCCAGGTGTTTAGGAGGTTGAAGAATGCAATAACTTTTAACCAAATTTATCTCTGTGTCACTATCACCGTTTTACATCAGCGAAAGGTATTAAATGATACAAAAATTAAAATTCCATAAGTGGCCTCGAAGACCAGATGCTATCCTTGGTCACTATCCAAGAACGACCGGATCTCGAGCAAGCGAGGAACGCTCTAATAGTGTCGAATGCAGAAATGAGAAAAGAACTACAGGAAATAGAGGATAGAATCCTACATCGACTTTCCGTGTCAGAGGGCTCTGCCGTCGATGACATGGACCTCATTTTCACCTTGGAAGCGTCCAAAGTTAAAAGCGAAGAAATCAAGGTACTGCTTTGACACCATTAATTTCTCTACGCGTTGCTTTTCTCGGAAATTTGTGGAAAAAGTGACTGCAAACTAGGTAGTCCAATTTTTATCGAAACCTTCGACGTCTGTAGCTTGCACGAAAATTGTTTTCGCAACGAATTGAAGAAAATGAGTACAAACTATGCTTCCACGAATATTATAAGAACTATCGATGACTATTAGATGATTAAATCTTACAAATTGAATTAACCCCTTGACTACTGTGGACGCCTATAGGCGCTTAGAAATTTTGCGTTTGTGACACGAAGGATGCCTATAGGCGGTTAGAAATTTTACCTTTGTGACATGGAGGGCGCCTATAGGCGCTCTGCGTAGTTTAGCTTTCTGACACGGAGGGCGCTTGTTTTCACAAAAATGGCGCACATCGTATCTCACTTCTTGTCGTATGGTATAACCGCTACTTATCAAAATCCGTCGTAGTGAAGGGGTTAAACTGAATTAAAATGACGAATCTTCGATTGCAAATATCTTGGAAATTATTTAGTGAACCTTATAATCACCCCCTCCCCGTTGTTGGGTCTGTATTGTCAGAAAGTAACCCTTATTGCACAGTTAACAGTTTACAATTGATATTTCGTGCTCTTGTACGTATTATAATTTTCCAGGTGTTCATCTTCGATTGCAAATATCTTAGAAATTATTTAGTGGCCCTTATAATCATATACCTTCGCCATCTTTTTTTCTTGTTTCGTTGCTCTTCGATTTTCTCTGCCTTCGTTTTCCCATCTACTCGTCTGTTCCATCACCGGCCATGATGGATCCAGCGTTAGTACCCCTTTCGGGTTTTCGTTGAAACGAATTTTGCCTCACGGGAGAGCAGAAAAAGAGTCAAGATTTTGGAAGATTCGAACACGTTTCGGTGAATAAGCAACTTTCTCTTACCGTAGGTGAAAATGCAGGAAGCCGAGATCACCCAAGTAGACATCGACATGACCAGGTCGCTGTACATCCCCGTCGCTGTGCGTGGTCAAATACTCTTCTTCTGCCTCTCCGACCTGCAGTACATAGACACCATGTATCAGTACTCGCTCGAGTGGTTCGTCGAAATTTTCAACAATAGTATACTTGCGACGGAAAAGAGCGGAGTTAGTGGGAAGCTCGTTACGTTTCTCGTTAATTACTGCCTTGAATTATACAAAGCCCGAATTAGCTGCTATTAATTGCCATCGAGCTATGATCGACGAGCCATTAAATTTCCATTTCGAATTTCACGGACTGTACAGAAATTATTATTTCACATTATTATTTTATTATGGATTACGTAGACATTTGCTTATTTTATTCATAAAGAATAGAATTTTATTTGATACCATCTTTGTCCCTTTTGATGAAGATTTCAAGATTATTTTTGAATTCTGTATCTTTTCACACAATTTTTGTAACTTTTTGTATTTATCTAAATATTAAATCATAATTTATATAATTTTTTATATTTATCAATTCATAAGTATGAGGATAAACGCAATGAGCTTAATAAAAATATTTGTCTCTTGTAATATTTTGCAATTTCGCTCCTGTAAATTAATATGTTGTAATGCTTATAAAATTGCTATTAAAATATTTTAGAGTTTAATAAGATAGGATAGGATTTTTAAGATAAATTTTAAAAAGCATTTTCAAAGGAAATCTAGGTAGTTAAATCAAGCATACAGCTTTTAAAAATAAATTCAATGTTAATGCAATAATTATTTATTTAATTGTATACGTATAAAATTTTCCGGTGAGCCGAGGAATAAATTATTCGTGAAAAATGCGAATAGTGGAAAGCGAATTTACGAAAGAATATTAATTTTCAGCCAACATTCAAGTACGAGTGGAAAATATCAATCAGAGATTCATGTTCTCGCTATTCTCAAACGTGTGCCGCAGTTTGTTCGAGAAGCACAAACTGCATTTCGCGTTCCTGGTCTGTGCCAGGATTCGTATGAACGAGAAATTAATCGACGCGACCGAGTGGAGACACCTCTTGTTGGGACCCGAGCCAACGCAAGTGAGAATCACAATGAGTCTAATGATCCGCGGCATTGAATTTAAGAAGGCTCGATTCTTCCACTTCCCTCCTGACAAATACCATCTCTGTTCCATTTAAAATTCATTCACCGATTTCCAGGAATATTCCGCGAATTTATTAAAATGTTAAACGTCCCGCGAAATTCTTTCCGGTGCTTATTGTTTATCCGGGAGCTTCGTTAAAACTCGAAGCGAAAGAAAGCAAAAGGAAAATTCACGTATTCGTATGAAAAGAAAAGAAAAATCACGTATTTAAATGAGAAAGCATCGGAACGTCTGTATATAACTTCATAGTTATAGGAATAAAATAATCGTGAAAAGCAATTCCAAAAAATTCATTTCAAATATCCAATATCGGTGCTGTGTATTATCTGTACAAAGTTTTACAGAAATTTAGAAGTTTTACAGCACAATGGTAATAATAATTTGTAAAAATACTCAAACTCAAAATAGTATACATAGATTATAGATTTAAGCAACTCGTAGAAACATAAACGAAAATAATGAGAAAATAAGAGGATAAAAACTATGAGCAATATTTATTAAAAATTCTATAAACTAATATAAAGTTTCGAAAATTATAAATAAATATGTACGTATATGTATGTATGTAAATAAAAATAGTATACATAGATTATAGATTTAAGCAACTCGTAGAAACATAAACGAAAATAATGAGAAAATAAGAGGATAAAAGCTATGAGCAATATTTATTAAAAATTCTACAAACTAATATAAAGTTTCGAAAATTATAACTAAATATGTACTAATGTATGTACTTACGTATCGCGAAAGATTAGGTAAAATTTAGTAAAATTACGAAATTTGAGAAAATTATGTACGAAATTTTTCTCGTAATATCGTGAATGTAAAATAAATAACGTATGCAAAATAAATTGCGAATATTTTGCAGATATGTAAAGTTTCTTTTCTGCGTTGCAGGAGATTTCAAATCCCGCGCCAAAATGGATCACGCCGCGTTGCTGGAGGGAGATACAGGCGCTTGAGAACCTGCCCAAGTTCGAGAAGTTTGTCGAGTTCTTCACACAGTCGGTGACCCAATTTAAAAGCGTGTTCGACGCTCAAGAGGCGCATCTGTGAGTAATATTAACCCTTTCGGTACGGAGATGCCGGCAGTGGTTATACATTCGTGGTACGAGGAAGTTTTCCACAAGAGTGGTTGCACTGGAAGCTACGAAAACGTGTTTTGCGGTATTCATAGAAATCTCGAGCGTGATTGACACTAAACTTTTCATTCGGACCGCGACAGTCATCGGTGACGTTTCGTGGATACTGACAATAGGCGACGGTAGTACCTAGAGAACGTTTCGTAGATGGCGCCAATAGGCGACGGTAGTACCCAGAGAACGTTTCATGGTCGCCGCTAATAGGCGACGATAGTACCTAGAGAACGTTTCGTAGATGGCGCCAGTAGGCGACGGTAGTACCCAGAGAACGTTTCATGGTCGCCGCCAATAGGCGACGGTTTTTCCTAGAGAACGTTTCGTAGATGGCGCCAATAGGCGACGGTAGTACCCAGAGAACGTTTCATGGTCGCCGCCAATAGGCAACGGTTTTTCCTAGAGAACGTTTCGTAGATGGCGCCAATAGGCGACGGTAGTACCCAGAGAACGTTTCATGGCCGCTGCCAATGGGCGGCAATAGTACCGAAAGGGTTAAAGATGCTTCTCCCGTTCGACGAAATTAATAGAACAATGTCTATTCAGTGCACCATATCCAGAACCATGGGAGTCGAAACTGGACGACTTTCAGAAAATGTTGGTACTAAAGTGTCTTCGGCCTGACAAAGTGACCAATGCTATGCAATTGTACCTGGCTAAGTACCTAGGCCAGGAATTCGTCGAACCCCAAACCACTGAGCTGTCTGCCATTTACAACGAATCTTCGCCGACTACGCCAATTGTTTTCATTCTGTCCACTGGTACAGACCCTGCGGCAGAACTGTACAAATTCGCGGATAAATTAAAGATGAGTACGAAATTGCACGCCATATCCCTTGGACAGGGACAGGGGCCTAGAGCAGAAGCATTGTTGAAGTTGTCGTCTGAGCAGGGTTGCTGGTGTTTCTTCCAGGTATTTTTCTAAATCTCTCAGAAATTTTTCATAAACGGGAGTTATTCGTGGTAAATTATAAGGGTTACGGTATAAATTAGCGTGACTTGCACAATTCGAAAGGTCAAAGTAGTTTGCTTTGTTCCACAAACAGAAATAGAAAATAAATTGATTACGAAGGTACAAAATTAAATTACAAAAGGAAGGAAATGTGAGTATTCAATCTCCAATTTCGAAATATTGTCCACGCTTTGTATTGTAAATTTGATATTACTATAATTTATACAGTTTTTGTACTTTCAATTCATCCTTTTACAAATCGAATCCACCACTTTCCAAGTTAAATACGTGTACATAAATATCTCATTTAAAAAAGCGTGAAATATAACAAAAATGATTTAAATATATTTAAGAATGATATTTAAATTTATTTTTTTTAATGTCAGTTACGTTTAACACTTTTGTCACGATTCTCGAATAAAATATCCTGACCTACATTTACATCACCAAAGTTATGTTAAACGTACCTCGCAGCTACATACATACGTATACACTGCTTATTGTTACGTCTACAATCAACTGTATTTCAATCAAATCACAGCAGGCAAATTGAGATAATATCGAAATTATTATCATCATTATTAATTATCCACAATTTTGCGACAATTTCGCATAGGTTACCTGTACCTAACCTCAAAAATGCATGATGTTACATATACAATCGACTATATTTCAATTAAATCACAGCAGGCAAATTAAGATAATATCGACATTATTATCATCGTTATTAATTTTCCATAATTTTGCAACAATGTCGCATAGGTTACCTGTATCTAACCTCAAAAATGCATTATGTTACATCTACGATGAACTGTATTTCAATAAAATCACAGTAGGCAAATTAAGATAATATCGACATTATTATCATCGTTATTAATTATCCACAATTTTGCGACAATCTCGTATAGGTTACTCATACCTAACCTCAAAAACGCATGAAATAATCCAGTCACGTAACCCACTTTACACGAGCACGTACTATGAAATGAACATTCGTCGGATGAAAACGTCAGTCGTGTATTCGTGTATACAAATCGCCATGGGATATTCGACCATGCTTAAAGTTGAAACATTAAAGATTTGTTGCGGCTTATATTACAAGATATCGGCAATGCCAATCACGGAAATATATTTTCGTTTGAGAAAAGGAGACGACTATTCTTTAACGCGATAAGGAATGGGGTAGAGAAAAGGGGCAGATATCCCCTTTATCTCCAAAATATATGAAGGAGGAACCAATGGCGTATGATTTATCGCGTATTTAGGAGTCAAAGGAGCAACCAAGGTGGTAGAAAGTAGAAGGAATTAGATAAGGAATTTCTACCTTGCATTTTTACCCAGCTTTGTCGAATAATAAAATATACAGGATGTCCCAAAATTCACGCAAGATTCGAATTTCGCGCCATTTGTGCGATAAAGTGATGCCAACGAAAATAAAAATACAAAATGACTGTTGACAGTTAGGGTTATCAAAAATGGAACGCTGCATGAAAGAACAACGTTGAATAACATATTATATATTATATATATAATTAATATGTATATAATTATTAACATTTCCTTTGTTGAAAAGATAAGTTTAGTAAATAAGTCACCGTTCAGTAAATTTTATAGTTATTGTGAATCTGAAATACATTTTCGCAGAATTGTCATTTAGCTCCGAGCTGGATGCCAGAATTGGAATCATTGGTGGAGGCATTGTCGCGGGCAAATAATCATCGAGATTTCCGTTTATGGCTCACCTCCGCACCCTCGGCAGATTTTCCCGTCAGCATTCTTCAGAACAGCAGTAAGATGACAATCGAACCACCTCGAGGGATAAAAGTAAGAAAAGAAACATAACCTCACAATTTTTTATTTTATATATTACGTTCAATATTCTTTTCTAAGCTAAGCTAAGTTCATTCCACACTGAGCTAAAGATCAATCGATCAATCAAAAATCGATATCACTTTAATAGCTTTTTTCCATTTGACAATCTCAGATTCTTGTACGAAATAACGAGATAAGATATTTTCTTTGTGTCTTTTAGGCAAATATGTTCCGTGCTTACTTGACGCAAGTAACAGAGATGCAAAGCTTTCTGGTCTCTGGAGACCCCAAAGTTCAACTGTTTAAATGGCTGGTATTCTCCTTGTGCTTATTTCACTCGGTGCTATTGGAACGAAGGAAATTTGGTTCCCTGGGATTCAATATTCCCTACGAATTCACCGATGGTGATTTGAGAATATGTATATCACAGCTGCACATGTTCCTTTTGGAATACGATACCGTTCCCTTTAAGGTAAAATCGTACAGAGACTATAGAAAAGATACATTAGCTTCTGTCTTCTTGCTTGTCATCGATTTTTAAATGTAATTACTCGCAATTTTTGTTGTAAATTAACAACAAATGATGCACACTCTGTTAACACTAGAACTAAGTAGATCCTCTATTCTAATCCAAACCTGGAAATGTAACCAATCCTAATGTACTCAAAAACCCCTTTCTATCCTTCACCAGTTGGATAGCTATCCACAGTCTAAAATATTTGAATGAAACTCTGAAAACCCTCTCTCTCACTATGTCTTTCCTAACCTAACCCAAATCCAAAGCAATTCCTAATAATTAATAATAATAATTCACAATAATTCAAAACACTCACCCTTAACATTAGAACTACTAACCCAGTGAAAATGACTGGTCCCAGAATTTTCCTTTTTGCAATTCACCAAACACATACACCTGCTTTAAGAATAAAATTGGTACCAACTGATATTTAAGAAAGAACTGTAATCAATATATTCACTCATATTCACCGTATCGCTGAAATGACTATAATCTGTGCACGTTATAATTAGGTGCCCACTAAAGATCGGTAGCGTCAATCTTATGGTCTGTGATCTTATGGTTGTCACTTGCTATTAAAAGAATTTTAATGTACTTAATTTTTTAATATTTATTTACAAAGGTGCTGATATATACAGCTGGTCATATTAATTATGGGGGCAGAATAACAGATGATTGGGATCGACGATGCGTGCTGACAATCTTGCAAGATTTTTACAGACCGGAAATTCTGTCGTCGTCCTATAAATTCGATGAAGAAGGACATTATCGACAAGTATGTGTGCGAAATTAATTAGTATCCTTACTAAATAAATATAGATGATTTATATAATTAGAAATTATGAATTTAAAAATTCATAAGGACCACCATTTCACGTGGGACGATCTTTATATATAGTAATTAATTCTTGTAATCTTAAGACTTAACAAAATCGTTTTTTTTTTTTACATTTTTTCAAAGTATATGCTTTCGAAAATGTTCATGTAAAAGGATTTGTTCGAATTCTTAAAATTGACGAAGTTGTGGATATTTATATTGCGGTATAGAGGCATTGTACAATGGGAAACGAAAACTTCAAACGCGTTTTTCTCGAAACTATGCTTTTTGAACTTGCCGGCGGGATATCTCGCGTTTTAGTTGACCGATCGACTCGAAATTTGGAGGAGACCTTCACCGAATGTACCTTCATCGCATGCACCACGGATTTTAAAATCCGATGTTTTTTCTATTTTTGTTTACCACGCAAAGGACGAAAAGCACGAGGAAAATTGATATTTAAATTCCAAAACGCTGCCATTTTTTTAATTTTCAAAATTTCGCTGTTTCGATGGTTCGTGCTATAGTCGAATTCATACTAATTAAGATGCATTTTAGTTTTTCCATTTCGGATAACCAGATTGTCCGGAATCGTGTCAGTCATTCGAGCCTGTTATTAAAAACGCCATCTATCTAAAGCTATATAATTTCCCATATTTCCAAAAATTTAGTTTAAAAAAAAATTCTAAATATTCTCTAGGTATAAATAAATCCGTGTGCGAAAACTGCATGTCAATATGTACCATAGTTTGCTCAGAAAAAAATCCCAAAAATGTCGATTTTTATTGGCCGGATTACGAGAATATCCCCTCAACGACAAATTCCACTGTTTATTTTTCTACATATTCCAGCTGCCTGATGCTACTACGTTCAATGATTACATCGATTATATAAAAACGTTCCCTTTGAACGATGAACCGTCGATGTTTGGAATGCACCCAAATGCGGATATTAGCTTCGCGCAAGCAGAGACTTACGCCTGCCTCAACACATTGCTGGCTCTTCAACCACGGCAAATAGGAATCGCAGCTGCTAGTGTCGAAGAAATCACGACTCACATAGCCCAGGATATGCTATCAACGATGCCTCCGATCTTTGATTTGTCTATTATGCAGCAAAAGTATTTCGTTCAAATATCATTCTTAATAGTTTGATATCGAATTATATCGAATCTAGTATACTATTTATGAACGATACACGAAGTGTTGGGTGTCCCAAAATTTACGCAAGCAATTTTGATAAAAAACACAGGTTTTTAATTGAAAATTGTAAATATCTCTCAACAATGAAGATGCGTTGTTCTTTCATGCAGCACTCTATTTTTAATAACCCTAAACTATCAGCTGTTACGCTATTTCTTTTCTTCGTTGGTAGCGCTTTACCGCACAAATCTTACGTGAATTTTAGGACACATTAAAAACGAAGGAACATTAAGATAATCCAACATTCGAATAAAATAAATAAATAGCTAAAAAAGTATCGCTGTATATAACCATAAAAATCATTTCATTACTTTTGTATTAATATATGCAAATATTAGATACCCGGTCCTGTATGAAGAGTCTTTTAACACCGTACTAGTTCAAGAAGCTATACGCTATAATGGGCTGTTGAACGTGGTGAAGACGACGCTAGTAGATCTGTTGAAGGCATTGAAGGGATTGGTCGTGATGTCGGAATATTTGGAAACTGTGTCGAACTGTTTGTACAACAACAGAATTCCGACAGTTTGGCAAGACAAGGGTTATCCTTCCTTAAAACCTCTTGGTAACTTTCTATCCGAGTGTACATCGATTATTTAACATTAGAAGTAATTAATATCAGAAATGATTGCAATAAGTTAGAATATATACATGTGGCGCCATCGCCCGGCTCGCGCCGTTCTGTGCGTTTCTCTTTACTGCCCGAGACGCAACAGCACCATCGGTGCAAAGATTCTCGCGCCTTGTGCTACCATCTATGCACGCGTCGTCGCATATCAGAACAGGCATGCACATTTCCATTCCAACATGGCTAGTAATAATACGTGTTCGAGCATTACCTTTCACGGCCAACTTCTTTGCTTCATCCACGCTCTTTGATACCCATGCCACACGTGCCTTTCTACGTTCGCTCCATAGTACACGATAAATTCCTTGCACCTCCTCAACCTATCGCCTTTGTCTCACGTAGCGACTGTAAAAACCGCAAACGTGACCACGCCACGTGGAGATCGAACATATACTCCCAAAATTCACGCAATATTGGAAACTTGCGCCATTTGTGCGGTGAAGTGTTGCCAACCAGAAAAAAGGAAAAGACAGCACGACCGCTAATAGTTCAGAGTTATTAAAAATGGACTCTACACGAAAGAACGACGCGTCTTCATTGTTGAGCAATGTTTACAATTTTTATTTAAAAACCTGTGTTTTCTATCAAAATTACTTTTTGCGTAAATTTTGGAACACCCGTATATATGTGATATGTATAATGTTATTTTGTCTGTGGGTTATGCCAATTCATTTATAAAACAGGTGCTTGGTTCGTGGACTTGAAAGAGCGAATCGCATTTCTAAAATCTTGGGAAGATAATGGAATACCAGCAGCGTTTTGGATATCCGGCTTTTATTTCCCCCAAGCATTTCTAACAGGCACTTTGCAAAATTTTGCGCGAAAATACGTTGTTTCCATCGATACGATAGATTTCAGTTTTAAGGTGAGTTTGTTATAAATAATTTATTAGTACTTAACAATTACACGTTCAGAAGTTATTACAAAGTATGAAACTTGTTTAAAGATACAACATATCATGAAAATACAAATTTCTAAATGAATAAATATACCACTATTTTTAATGTTATAGGTATTAGGTTTAATGCCAAAAAATAGGCCGCCAGACGGTTGCGTCATATATGGTCTGTTTCTTGAAGGATGTCGATGGGATGGCGATTATTTAAATGAGTCCTTACCTAAAGAATTATATACTAGTAACTATAATAATATTATAAAAAATACTACACGTATATTATTTTCGAAACGTTTAATCATTTTCCGTCAATACAATAGTAAATGTAATAATAACCTAAATTCTCAACATTTTTATGAACATTTTATCATAGACATGCCTCCCATTCTACTATTACCGGAAGTAGATCACAAACAGCTTGAAGGAACCTACACTTGCCCCGTGTATAAAACTATCAATCGAGCAGGAACGCTGAGTACGACCGGGCACTCGACAAATTTCGTGTTACCAATGGAGATCCCTAGTCAAAAACCACAATCTCATTGGATAAAAAGGGGCGTAGCTTTGATTTGTGCATTGGATTATTAATGATCTTTTAATATCTTTTTCACTCATGATTTTCACCATATTTAAAGAAATTTAAGAGTATCATGATTTAATTATAATTATTTAATTTAATTATAAAGTTTTAAATAAAAAATAATAAAATAAAAGAATTATTGTATTATATTTTACTTCTCATTTTATTTTTTCTGTTACAATTCATATTTAGTTACGAAATAATATTCATCGAAACACGTTAGCTTTTTCATTTAAAACGTATAATTGAAACATTTGAACTATTTGTTATATTTGAAATAAAGTTATCAAAATGTAATTAATTACGATTAACTCAGATACGTGGCAGAAATTAAGGACGTAATAAAATGAAAAAATTACTGCGTCATTTTAACTTTAGAATCGTCTTATGTATCATTTTCGTATAATTTTGGGTTCTTTCTGAGTGCTCTTCTGTATTCTGCAGTAGACCATTTAATACACCAAATCAACATTAACAGTGCTATAAGAAGACAAGAGTTGATCAAAAATATAAATTACTACGATTTTTATAATAAAATAGATTTGCAAATTATGCATTACAAATAAATAAATAGAATAACAAGTATTATCTAACAAATTTTAATGCTAAAATTTTATGCTAAAATTATTAATTTTTATAAATACTACATTTATTATCATAATATGAAAAATAATTAAAACATTTAATTTTCCTTTGTAAGCTTGGAAGTAATTAGGATTACCTGGTACCGTTGGCACAAAAGCTCGTGCTGTTCGTCTAAACAGATTTGGTAAACCATGAGAAACAGATTTTGCCCAAAATCTTTGATTTGATGAGCACAAAGTATAATACACAATTTTTCTTATTCGAATTGGTAACTCTCCAAATTCCAAACCCATGATATATATTAATCTTTCAAAGCTCTTAAAAAAAAAAACAAGGAAATATTCAAGATATGCGTGAATTTTGAAAACAAAAGACGAAAACATCGATATTTAATGCTATTTACAAATACGTATAAATATATACATATATGGCAGATATTTAAAAAATAAACATTTCTTTTCACCTGTTTACATTATCAAATGTATTTATTTTCATAAAATACATACACAAAATTCTATAAATATTGATAAATATACTACAAACAAAAAGATCAAAATACATACATCAAAACGTATATACAGATTATAATATAAATGCTTATAAGTAGTTAGAATTTATTTTTTTAAACTTGGAGTGAACTATTATTTGTGGACATATATTCGATGACCTTCTGTGGTATAATAAATTTATCTGGATTTTGTTCTAATAAGCATCCTAGGAGGCGTGGTACCGACAACACAGTCCCAGATATCACAGAAGGAAAAGCAGATTTATTTGGTGACCGATATACAATCATTAATCTTTTACTAAAATATTCACCATATGTAGATATATGACCCACTTCTATGTATTGTTTTGAGAATGGAGACCATAATTCAAAAGATACTCGCATTGCCTCCCAAGGTCGTAATTCTGAAGCAGGCCTCATTACAATTTGATAATGATCACATACATTATCATATAATTTACATACAGTGTTTAACAATTTTTCAAATTGCATATGATACTCTTCACTCTTTGCATCTTTGACTAATATGAAAGCTAATGCAGCTGAAGCTTGACAAACAGTAAACAAACCAATTGGAGTAAAACCTGGTCGAAAAGGAGTATACTGTCTTCCTGTAGAAAAATATGCTATTGGAAGATGACATGGATTTATACACTGTCTTGCATGCATAGCCAAAAATGAAATCAAACTCGCTCCTCCGACAAGGTGCATACGAGAATTTTTATCTGCATCGGTATAATTATCTATTATAAAAGCATCTGCCGGATCTTCGTGATTCAAACCGGAGCCATCTATTAACAAACTACGACTGAAATCTGCACCCGCTACTCTAATCATGTTATCCGCACTAAAAATTTGTCCAGCATAATTTAATACACCAAGTTCAAAAAGTGCTGCATCGTTGCATAAATAATATTGCATTGGATTTCTATATTCCAATAAACCAAGACGTCTTCCAATTTCGATATGATTCTTTTTCTCCAAATCTGAACGTTCATTTAAGGAATTAACACGTTTTATTATAATAGGACTTTGAACTGGAGTTCTTTCATCTACTTCATTTGGTAATTGAAACAGTTTTCTTAAAATACTTTCATTTAAATCCGCGAGAGCACCTTTTATTGTTTTTAAATCTTGCTTTATTACTTTGATTTGTAATTTCAGTTTTGTAAATTCCGCTTCTTCCTCTACAGTTAACTCTTTCTTTTTAAACAAGGGACTCAGTTTCTTTGACATCTCGTCATTTTGTGATTGCAATTGCATCTTATTTGATTTTACTGATTTATAAAATTCCCACAAATTTTTAATTTCATTGGCATTCAAATTCAATCCACGAGCTGTTAAATCTCGCTGCAGCTTTTCAATATCTGCTAATCTTTCATCAAAATCTACATATCGCCTTATAATTGAATCATATTTCTTGCTTTTAACGTTCGAAAGGACTACTTCAGAACTGCAGTGTCTACTAAAATTTAATAGTGTATTAGTGGTCTTCAAAGCATTGTGTTTCAAAATTTGTTGAGTCACACATCTCTGTATGATATAAAACATATAAGTTGCCATCTTGAGTAGTTATAAATCCTTAACAGTTTCTGTAATTTGTTATGCCTACATAGATTTCTTAAACTAGATGCAAGTGTTGCTTTTTGAAATAGCTAACTTTCATGGAGTTACTTTTGAAATTTTTGCTTTTGGTGATATTTCTGGCTCAGTATCCATATTATAACTATTACGACTTATTGTTTCAATTTTTCTTTTTTGTGGGGCTATGTAATTTCCTTTCCCTGCTGCTCTTTCTGATTCTTCTATAGAATATGGTTCTAATTCGAGTGCTTTCAGTCTACGCTTATGTACTTTTGTTCTAATATGATCTTGTAAAGCAGTGTCATTTATAAAGTACTTCCTATAATGGTAAATAAATTCTTTACAAGAATTCTTCACTTTATTCAAAAATCATAATATAAAATCAAGAATATAAAGAAATAATAGCTAATATTTTAAATGTTAACTATTTAAATAGGTAATAAAATTATTACAAAATAGAGTGAGAAGGTTAAATAGTTCAAAATGGCATGTAATAGTACGACATAAACACTTACGCGCAATGGATACAATAAAACTGACCCGCACCGGGTTTATCCAAGTCTACTTCTTGATTTAGTAGGTCTTTTACATTTTTTTCATTCAAATCTTCGTCAATCTAAAATAAAAAATATCGTGTAACAATTGCCTATCATAAATAACCACGTGACAGATACACGTTTTCGAATAAAAGTTGGGTTAAGTTGCTATACTTGATCTAAATCTTTCGTTCTTCTTTTAGTTCGCCAACTTTTTTTTAAATGTGTATCGCCCCTATGATATTTTTTACGTTTGTAGACCATTGTTAGCGAAGAAATTATTTACACGACAAAATTAAATTATATTACCATCACACTACATCGCAAGCAATGACTGAAACAAATAAAACAAGTTGAACGAATGTGGAAAGGTTAAGATGTTGATCGGAGATAAGTGATAAATAATATATAAAGTTCAATAATCTATATATTTATAAAATCCATAAGAAGAAAATATACAATTTAATATTCTTCAAAAGTGTAACAGTACAAGGAATTTTAAAGTAAAAATTTGGGTTGTAGTTGGTTTTCATAGAAATTAGCTTTTGTCTTTAAATATGTTAAAATAAAAAATTGTTTATTTTGAACAAATATATATATTTTTACATTTATCAATGAATATAATTTATTGCATATAAAAACATTAAAAATATGTTAATTTAGTAGAACTTATAGTAGTTTTATAACCACTGGAGAATTTTTAGCGTTGCTATTGGTCAAATAACGTCATGGCGGCTTTGCCTTTATGAGAATTCGTAAAAAGGTTATAATGGTGATAAAGTTTTCAGTGGTAAGTATCGTGAATTATATTAAAATTCATCTGTGTCCTTCTGCCATAATAATAGTTTCAAACCATTCTTCAAGAAATAAATCAAACAACGTGTATTGCATTTTTGTGAAGTCGACTTAAAAAAACATAACATTGAATGTGAAATCACAAACAATAAACTTATAAATTATCTCCATAAAATACGAATTATACATTAATGTTCGACATTGAACATCTAACGTAGAGATATAAAACAGTTTTGAGTTAACTTGAATAGAACAAAATACGATTAAAAAGAAAACATGTTCGTAAAAGGGCATGCGCAGTACGATAAGATGCTTTTACTTTGAAATTGGCGTAACGCAATGGTAGAACCGATAGATGTCGGTATAATATCTCAGAGTAGGTCGCGCCTCTATCGGCGAAGCCTATGATCAATTCAAACGGTGCGCCACTGACGAGGGGGGTCCACACCATTTTGAAAGTAAAAATACTGCGCGACCCGGGATTTTGTTTGTACGGTTCGGCGAGGGTAAAAAAGCGGCGAGGGCTAGGCTGTGGTATGGTCGGGGCAACGCGGTGTCGCGCGTAAAATGACGTAGAGTGTGCGAGGGTGTGCCGCGTGCGGTACGAGGTGTGTTAGCGGAAACGGTGTCGCGGTGTGTAGGGTCGGCGCTGGCCGTAGCTATCGTAGCGTACGGGAAATTGGCTGTGGCTTCGCCAATGGATGCCAGGCAGGAGGAGACGCCATTTTGATATACGGGCGCACGTCAAGCGTTCGCTCGTAGGGAAACGCGCTCTCGAGTCGGTCTGCCGCTTCGCGTAGGACCGCGCGGGTGAATTCGTTGGTTCGCGAGGTTCACGAGTATCGTTGGTACGAGTGCGTGGCGCAACGAATCTGAAGCGTTTCGTTGACAAGTGACAGGTGAATCGATCGGGCCGCGAGGAAAGTCGCGTTGCGGCCCCGTGCTCGTAACACGGTTCGCTCGGTTGATCGGTAGTGACTACTGTGTGTGGAACTACGTGTACATTCGGATTTTTCCCCACGCGGGCGAGTTCAGTGCGAGGGACACGGTAGCTCGTGTATATTGGTGCGCCGATCCGGGGTGGCGGTGTACGGCAGGGAAAAGCCGCTGCTGTCTCGTTTCGCGCGCGCGAGAGAGGCCACCGGCCGACACTTCGGGCCAGGACAAGACGACCCGATGTCGGGAGCGGGTCGCGACCCCGTGTCGACCCGTGGTCGTCCTCGTCCTCGCATATCCACCTCTTTCATAGCACCAGGACGCTCCTGGCGTAAATGTGCTCTCATGAGCGCCCATGTGCACCTCTCTTTCTGTCTGCTGCCCCTACGTGCCCTGTAAACCCAGAGCACACCCCGATTAGCACGCCCACGCACTTTATCACTCGCGAATATGGCCAAGATCCTCAACAAGGACCCCGTCACCTACGAGAGGGAGAGGGAAAATTTCCTGAAGGACCTCCGTCACTTCCATGAGACTAGAGGGTAAGGCGATTTCGCTCGTTTGCTTCCGAACGATTGTTCCATTATTTACCTCTATCTCTCTATTCTCACCGATAATTATTTCTTTCCGCTCATCATTTGCTTCGATCCTTTTACGTTTTATTCACTCGAATTCTGTTCCTACAAACCAATTCTCGTTATATCGTTCTCGTAACGGTTCGAAAGTAAATCGGGTTAGCGTTGCCTACCTAGAATGTGGACAGAGTTGAGGTTATGTACGGTTAGTTTAAAGTTTCTCAGTGAGACTCGCCTTTGTGCAAGCCATTTGTTTACGCGTGTTTCGTGTTTTCTTTATCGACGATTATCGGTCGCGTATCTTACTGCGATTGAGGTTACGTTCGAATGAAATGTACAATATTATGATCTACTTGTTGATTTTTTTTTTTTTTCTATCAATTTATTTCCTACGATTTTATGCTCGTTGTGAATGTTGCCGGATTCTACTCATTCGATAATTAAAGTTTAACGCTATTTTAGAACGTTTGAACAATTGAATAGCTGCAAATGATTTCGCACAAAGACGCTGCCTTTTATTACGTCATTGTTCGTGTTTTACTAGTTTCGGAAACGGAAACAAAGCGTTCTCGATTAAACGATCTTAACCTCGGTGAGAATCTGTATTGCAATTGAAACAGTATTTATTGCACGCTCTTAACAAATAAATATATTTATCTAATTTATTTAATTTTATATTCTTTTTCATACATCAATATCACATTTAATTATATTTTTTTAACATTGTTTTTTATACCACGTTCATGTATTATATAGTATTTTCTGCATTACAATACCTAAATTTTAAAAATCAAAATACCAAAGTGAATCTTTTTTTCTATGTTTTAATAAATATTATTCAATTTGATACGTTAACAGTATGGTTACAAATCATGAGTTGCGCCATTATTTATATTTTATAAATATTCTTTTGTCTTTTTTCTGTTTTCTATTATATGGTGCATTTTATACCAGTTTCATAAATTGTGAATTTTACATTTTTCAGGACACCGTTCAAGAAAAATCCAAAAATCAATGGAAAAGATATAGATCTGTACTTGCTGTACGTTGTCGTTACTGCCCATGGTGGATGGATAAAGGTGAGTCCATATTTACATGTACGCTTTTCGCAAACATATCAGTTTCCTTTTTCGTATCCTATATACAAGAAAAAATGTACATATATTTGGCGTGATTCACGATGCGCATTGAAACGTAATTTTTAATGAGCATAATGAATGAAAAATTAGGCGAGATCATGCCGCTCCTGTAATTTGTTTCCATACATTGTTAGTGCAACATGTGAACAGTGTTTTGTTGCGTTCGTGGCTACTTATGGTCCGATGACTATAGCCCTTGTTGTAGAATTTGTTACGTTAATTGTAGATTTGAATAATTTGAAATAACAAATTTAAAAAAATCTTCCAATATCGCTTTTGGATCTATAAAAATTATATTGTTACATTGTACATAGAAACAAAGATAAATGGATAATTGTAATGAATTATATAAACGAATTTTAATAATATTAAATGACTATTAAAAAATTTCTAAATTTTGTAAAATATTCTATCTGCAAAGCATATTAATAATCAATAGCACCTGTTATTGTTTAGTGCTTTTTAATTATGCTGTTTATTACGAATTCGTTTCTTTTTTATTTTTATTTTAAAATCGTGATACTCTTATCAGTATATTATTTTTTATGCTGCAATAAAAACATTACAAGTAAAGCTTAACTACTTGAGTATAGATATTACCATTTTAAAAAGAAGAATCTTGAACATACATTCTTTTGTAAGAAGCACCATTTTTGTTATTTTTCTTTCAATTATTATTTCTATACCAATTTGTATTTCCACATTATTATTTTTATTGTAGATCACTATTATTGCAAATGTGTATATAGGATATCCTAAAATACCAAAAAATTATTCCAATATATTCTGAATAAATGTAACAAAGTGTAGTTAGGAATATATTTTTTGTTATATTGTTTTATATTATTTTTTTCTTCATGTTTCCAAGTTATAGATCATGTATATCAATATTAGCTATAGTTTGGCTGTATTGGATTTGAGAGCGGTATTCCAGTCATTTATTTTTTATTCTGTTGCCAACACAGTTTCATTTTTCATATTAATTTTCATTAAAGATCTGCAAAAAGAAACAATTTACCAATAAAAAATTCATTAAATTTTCAAGTTTGATATTCTCATTATTACATTTCACTAAAGAAGATATATTGTAATAGTTTAGATAGAATAAATTAATGTAATAAAATTAATAGGAGTGTAGCCATTTTGTTAAACATTTTCCAAGAATATTTAAATACTTTGTTGTAGTTTAAGGATAAGGAATACTACTTCTCTTTCTTCTTCTTCTTCTTTTCCAGGATTCTTTTTACAAAATATTTCTTGTTGTCCCGTTTATAATGATAACCCATAATTATATTTATATAATTTATTTATTTAATTCAAAGGTACTTACCAGATTTCTCTCCTTGAGCAATTAATTTATGTGAATATTATACTCTCTCCATAATTATTTCAAATGTCATAAAATATCTCACTTCTTAAATATAAACGAAAATGTAAACATAACCTTACTTTATTTATACCGTAGTTGAAGTTTAGTTAACTCTGAACTTTCGTATATTATAATTTTTATGAAATATAGATGAAAAAGATAAATTTTTTCCATTTCAAGTAACTCAATCTCCTCCATGCCACCAAACAATTAACAACTTCATTCGAGTGCACCAGTTAACTCAGCCTATTTCGAGAACACTCGGCAGCGAATGAACGAAAAATTCGTTGCATATCGCTGCCGTGATCAAATCGCTCAGATCACTCTCCTACATTTCGTGTTTCCAAGTTACACAGGGTATCGTCCGACCGATCAGGTGCTCGATTCGGTTCTGCGCATCGAAATCGCCTCGGCTCATTTACCCGGCTCGAATTTCGAGCACGCGAGTGCCCCGAGCATTCGCGCATGCCCGGAGCGTTCGCGCATGCTCCTTAGCGCGGGAAGGACGCGGGGACGCGTGCTGTTTTTGCAAGGAAAGTCTCCCAAATCAAAAAGTTTTATTGTATCTCCTCGAAGAATTTCGAAAAATAACAATAAGCACAGAAGAATCGAAAACTTGTCTAAAAGAAGACTGGCAATAAATCGGCGTTCATAACCTGCAAGTAACGATCTCTGATATGTCAAATGGTTCAAAATATGTTATTAAATATTAATATTCAACTAAATTACCTTTGTAAAATATATAAATGTTTTTGTAACATTATAATTTGCACTGTACTGATTCTTTTTTTTTATATTTCAACAACTGTGTGTAATAAATTAACAGCTTTTTTTGTTTTTAACATTTAAAAACAAAACTGATATAGGTATATATAGTAGGTTTTATTACTTGAATATTTATTTAATCAATAGGAAATCCACTGTGCATTTGAAGTCTTCATTCAAGTGTAATATATATTGAAGTTTTTCATATATTAAATTCCATAAAAATTTTTCTGAAAATAAAGTAACTGTTTGAAGTTTGATAATGGGAAATATTTTATAAATTATTCTGTACAGTAAAACACTGTTGTCAGTAATGGAAGTTCAAGTGGCCAATAAAGAAATTTGTTCAAGTAATTTCTTATCTGCTTTAAGCATTTCATTATGAAACACTACAACCAGAATTAAAATTATCATGAGGATTACATACCTTATTTAGGAATACTATATCTTCACTTTCATGGTATACCGTGCATTTATGAGATCAAAATTGTTGTATATAATTTATACTATTACTCATACTACATGTTAACAAATAATTTGTGTACAAAATTGATTTTTTTCTAATAAAACTGTACATGTATTCTCTGTGAATTATTATAAAAAAAATTTTCAAAATTTTATTATTTTTGTGTCACATGTCTAGTAATGAAATATTCAATAAAAATTACCACTGAGACATACAAAATACTTGAAATACAATTTATTTTTTAACATATGGGTTCAATCTCTCGATTGCTTCCATTTTGTAACCATATGTTCTTCCAAAGGGAGAGTTGAAAATTAATATAGTCTATTTAGGGCAGTCATAGTTAATAATATTGATCATAATAATTATATTAATAATATTATTCCGGAATTTTAGATATAAAAAATTTAGGCAGTTAAAAATTAATAAATATGGATTAATTCCATTGAAACATATTTCTGTTGCTAAGTCGATAGATTGAGGATGCAGTTTAAAAATGTAAAAAGAAGGGAAAAATCATATGTCACTACGTGCCATCGTGATAAAAATGTTCGGAATTTTCGGGTTGAGAAGCTCTTTTTTATTAGTTGCGCGAGCGCTTCGATCCATCACGCGTGATTAACGATCGAGGAATGCGTCACGGAAACGCGGGAAAACGATTGTTCCGCGAAGCGGATACAGTTGCTCTTCGATCGCGTTCTTCGAGAAGGAAACTCGACCGAGGCATTACAATACCGCCATCTGCAATAACGTTTTTCCCACCCAAAATCGAAATACATGACTTTAACAACGATACAAAAACTCAGCGAGAGCGCAATTAGTTTTGTCTAGGATACTTTTCAAAATAGAAGTCGTTCGTTCGACTGGGCACGTTTGGAGGTTATGTCATTTCGCTAGATTTTCTGCCTGATGCGAAGAATGCATCGTTTTCTGTTGCAGCTACATGTAGAATATTTATTTATATATTCAAACGTATTGCTTTAGTAATCGGAATATATTATCCTAAGTTAAATTTACTCGATATACATATATTTTCGCATCTTTCATAAATACGCGATATTCAAAAATTTTACCGGGCACGTACAGTGTGTTTCATTTGTAAGGGTATTTTTGAATAAAAATTATCCCAGGTAATTAAAATATAGAAGTTAGAAACGTGGTTATTAATTATATCATTAAATTTCCATAACGCTATCCTTTTTTCGTATTTTCGATTTTATATATTTTGTATCCGTAGATTTGGAAACCTAACCTCAATCTCAAATAATGAACAATCGTCTTTTTCGCCAGACAAATTATATCCCTTTGTATTTCACTTCGTGAGATTTTGATTTAGTAGTGTTTTAAGATTTTATATACTTGGCAGTCGTAAAGTTGGAAACCTAACCTCAATCTGAAATAGTGAACAATCATTTTTCCCGCCAGGGGACGGCAGAAAATGAAAAGATATGGTTCTATTTGGTCGGTAACGTTATTCAAACCTGTGTACCATGCGAGCTTGTCGAGTTTATAAACAGTAATTTATCCGCGCGATATTATTCATGCGCGTGAATTGATATACACATGCAACACCTCGGTCGATGAATTTTACGGAAACAAGGAGGATAAATCATGTTCCAGCATTTTCTGTTTTTTAGCAGACCTGTATAACTCGGTATCGACATTTGTGCGCGGTCTTGTAGCATTCTTTATATTACGTACATGGGGGGATAGAATTTGCATAGGCACGATGATTTTCGTTAATGCAAATTTTCCATTTTCTTCTCAGGAATATTTCATTTAACCGTCGAAAGTAATCAGTAAACTTTGAACGGTGATTCAGACTTTTCAATGAAATAATTGGTCGCCCGTTTGATTCACGTAGTAGTTTTTGATTCGTGTAGCGTAACGAGGTCTCTTTGCGCTGTGATGAGTAACGAAGCGATTGGAACGATTTAAACGTGGTATCCTTGGCTCTACTCTTCGTTGTCGAATCGATTTGTTTAAAAATCCAAAAGTTAAAAACTGTATTCCCCTTACGAAATAGAAGCACCATTATTCCAAATAATCCAAAATTTTCTAAATTTTCATTCGTATTTTAGACATAAGGTTACATCTGAAATCTAACCTATAAAAATAAAAAAAGGTAAAAATCTCATATTTTATAAAATAATTTATAATTGATGAATTTAGCGTTAGGTGTATTGGAAGGCATGTCTTGTTAAAGTTGAAACTAAAGTTCTGTTAGAATTTTTGCTAGCTACTTACGTCATTCTTCCGTCGCATTTTTATTATATTCCAAACACGTCTGTGTAATATTTTTCACATTTAAAGTCAAGGCGGTTCGAGTAAGTCTCCAGT